TCAGTTCAAGCCCTAGTTGGCCGTTTAGTCAACCCTCAGCGGGCACATGTTTGGCATTCTCGCGTGTCTATCGTCCATTCCTTCAGTGGGCGTCCGTCAGCGTTTGTTGAGGGATCCGTCGCGTTTGTGGCCGGTGGGTCAGTCTGTGCGCGGTTGGAGAGCGCTGGTTTGACCTCGTCCTTGTGGTTTTGGCAGCGTTCTGTTTGTTTGCTCTTTTGCCTGTGTAGAGATGGCGTGTCCGCCGTCCTTGCTGCTGGAGTATCGTTTGGAGGTCGTTGAGGCGTTTTGCTTGGGGAGCTTTATTTCGTGTCGCTGTGTGTGCCTGTCTGGCAGCTCTCGCGTCCTTTGTCCCTCTAGCGGCCCGTCGCGTTGCGCTGTTTTGGTGCTCAGTTTGTTTGTTATTTCCGCTAGAGGGGGTATCTTCTCCTTTGGCATTTACCTATGGAGCAACAACTAATGCGAGCTTGCGTAAGTAAGCTGGGTTAGTTGGGCGTAAGGCCCAATGCGTAACTGTTAGACTAACTGTTTCGCAACGGCCCGTGTCCTCAGGGCCGTCATTTATTGCGCGCATTAAGCTGGTTAGCTTATCTTGTTTTTGTTGTTCAGCGCGCGCCCGCCCGCCCGCCCGTTTCTGGCGCAGCCTCGCGTTAGTTCAGTTGCGGTGTCTCTTTCTCCGTTCGTTAGGCCCGTCTTCTTCGGGCCTCTCAGTCCATTTCTCTCTTTCATTCTTTGTAACAGAAAATGGCATTTACCTATGGAGCAACAACTAACGCCTCCATGCCCAAAATGGATGACATATTGTCGTCCTGCAACCTATAATCCTGCCTGCAGGACGGACACTTTTTGTTGAGGACCACCCAAACTTGCGATAGAGCCCTATAAGATGATAGAAGATAGGCGGTGCCTGACGCGACATTGGCCCCCGTTGTCGGCTGGTCGTGTCTAAGGATTACGTCGGAGTACTCACAACATGCATAATAGGCCGGGCGTTCTAGAAGAACATGACGCTCATCTTCCACCTTGTGCAGCGCGCACACCCACAGATCTGCCCATGGGGCTTTCCAGCAAAGGTACGATTCACCAAGAATGGTGCACATCTGCTGGGATAAGCTCCCGGATATGCGGAAGCCAGGCAGCCCCAGCCGATTTTTCGAATGGCAAACCCGCCCAACGCGTGTATTTCGGCATCATGACTCGCCAGGTTGCTTCCCATCCGACGGGAAATCCGATGGACCCGTGCTCAGCCTCGAGTGAGCTCGTGCAGCCATAAGCTGCCGCCTAAAGCCGGTGACGACTGGACCAGTGTTTTTTTTTCGTTTTGGGCCTAGTACCCTAGAGTAATTATCTGGGTGTTTCTTGCGGCTACAATTCCTATTTGTATAGTCGGTGGGGGGGGCCCCCCCCAGACCCCCCCCCTCACGCTCGTGCTGAAGGGCCCGCACTTCATGGTTGCACATAGCTTCTTGGTGTTTTTTGGTGAGCTCGTGGCTTTTTAGTGTGGCCTGCCAGGCATCCATCGTGATTTCCCGCCGCCGGCTGAGGGAGCAGGGACCGCACCGGACACGGTCGTGCACCTCGCCAGCCTCCACATCCGGCGCAACACACTCAGCCCATTCGAACAAAGCTGTCCAGTGCGCCTGGAAGCGACACACTCCCTCGTTCTCCCGCCAGCTCCCATCGCTTTGGCCTTTCAGCACACGCTGTGTTTGCTGGCGCCGCACCTGCTTTTGAATCACCAGCGGCGTGTGCTGCGAAGCACCCACCCTTGAAGGTGGAGGTGGTGCCGTGGCGACATCTTGGGGCGGCGGCCCTTCCTCGTCAGAATCAAGCTGGTCAGCATCTGAGTCGCTGATTGCTGCAGTAGTCTGTGGCCGCTTCGCCGGGGGATCCTCAACCTCGCTCAAATCGCTGGCTTCACTGACTTCAAGAGCGGCAACTGCGGCATGCCTATCCTTGTCTTCTGTATTATCTAATTCTTCTTCTTCTTAATGTTTGGGGCATTGCGTCTGCGGAGTTTCTGAGCCGTTTGCTTTGGTCAAGAATGAACGAATGCCCCGTCAGGGAACGAGCCGAAACTTGACCAGGTCTGCGGAAACTTTTCGTAATCGGGAGGCCCTTTGCGGAAAGGCTGCGGAAACTGCGGAAAGCTGCGAAAACTATAAAATGAATATGTAACGATGTTTTTTAGCTCTTCTCAGTGTGGCGATAACATGGACAGTCTGAAACCAGCTTGTGGCAGTGCGGTTCTGTCCGGTGGGATCTAGAATCTGGTGGATTCCAATCGTGCTCGAAGGTAGAGCCATCTAAACGTATTACTGGGGGTGGCGGGGGCCAAGCGATCAACTATTGTGTGCCCACACCCTTGACGGTGTTCACCCTGCCCCCTTCAAGCAGCCCGCCTCTCTTTGAACCCTGAGACCCCAGGCCTGAGCAGCCCTATCGTATACCACCCCCATAGTGTTGTTGGCTGATGGATTGCTCTGGGATGCTCAGAAATTGCCACTCGTATGTTACATGGGTCTCCCTGTCCGTTGCGGAGCAGTGACATGTCTGCATGCCTACTCCACATACCCGTCCGGCATGTCTGCATGCCTCACGGACAAGTCTATGCTGACTGTGCATTAATCCAGTAATCGTCCAAACAATATGAATTCAAAATAAAAAAATCAAAAGGAATAAAAAAGGCGAGAGGGCTAAAGTATCTAAAAATGGCACCGCACAACGATAACTGCAACGACGTGGCTCTGTTCAACTTCAACCACGTTTACGGACATTGTGGAATCAGTTATCAAAAACCCTTCTTCTGAGCAGAAACACAGTCAATCTTTATGACTTCGGCAGCCCCCAGGTCGGGGCCAGTGGTTGTTGACATTTGACTTAATCTAATAACTCCAAAGTGTAAAACGCAGTCTTTAAATGGCAAACGCATGCCTGGAATCTGTTTTTCAATTTCCGCCGTACAGCAAACGCGGAAATGCGGATTCTCTTTCCGCATTTCCGCCAATCTGGGCTTCGCTGCGGAAAGCGTGACGAAACCTATTTCCGCAGGTTTCCGTTTCCGCAGGTTTCCGTTTCGGCTCGTTCCCTGTGCCCCGTTGACCTAAGTTGAATGCAACAGCGGGCCGTCTCATGGTGATATCATCAAATATCTTATATATAAATAGTGTACAAGCTCCAAATGTTCAGCGTTATATGTGCAGAAGGCATTTGTGCAGATTCCATTTCTTCCAGGCTCAGACCCCCATTTATTCCCAAAAAAGTTAATATATTACCAAGAAAAAAAACACTGGACTCGACCTCCGGAATGGGCCTGCTTGCAAGCTAGCCAACAAGGATACCAAACATCATAGTTCATAGCTGCTAGGAACCGGAACATCATAGCCGCCCATCCGGTGTCGAACCCGCTGTGCAGTGCCATATATAGCGATTTCTTGACGCAACGTGCGATGGGCAATGGGCCGGGCTGTTTGACAAACGTGTTCGAGAAGCCAATAACAACCTTCTGAGCCCAGAAGTAAAGCAACGTACATAATAAGGAGGTAGGGATCCGAGGGTTCCTCTTTCTGGGAATCGATCTGGCTTATCGAGCGTTTGTATGTATTGACGATATATGTCGTACTGTACGATAGGTCCTACATGCGAGGTTCCATCACGCATACATGTCCCGTCGACGAACGCTTCCATGATCCAAACCCTACGAACCTGATATTCCACCACGTAGGAGTACAAGGAGCCCTGTTTCGTTGGCCGACTCGTGTCCACCGCAGCAGCGCCAAACGTTTGAAGCATGGCCGTGAGGTCGCCATCAACCGCATCCCATACAGTGGCGCCGGGGTCCGTCCACTCCGAACCCACCAACACACTGTCAATCATAACTGCTGCACCGCTAGGGGTCAGTGCGAGTTTACCCGAACCAAGGAGAGTGATGACCGGGGGTAGGGTGTCTTTGATGTACACTGGCTGCTGCTGTGAGACCGCTGTAGATGCGGTTGAAGCACCACTGCCGCCAGACATGATGGCACCCAGGATACCGAAGGATCCAGAATCAGGACCTGCCAGAGATGAACGAGCGTACGACAGCGGGTCGACAATGGTGAGGCTGCCGTCAGGTGAGACGACGGTCATATCGCCCGCAGGAGTGTACGTGACGGTCAATGTGGAGGGGTCAACTCCAGGAATGGCATTAGATGCGGCGCTAACAGCGGTGTCGGCGGATAAGGAGGTTGAACCACCTGCGACGCTCTGGAGCGCGGTGCTCAAAGCTACCAGGGTGCTGTTGCAGACACCCCGAATCGAGCAGGCGGAAAGCGAAGGGCACCAAAACTCCCCATCGGCGGTTCTGCATTGCGGTTTGACAGCAACAGCCCGGTAACGCGGGATGGCGGCGGTAGCACGGGAATTGACGGCACTGTATGAAAGTAGGTACATCTGGGTCACAGCGTTTATAGAACTGCTGTTGAGCGTCGGGCCGCCGTTGGGGTAGATGGTCAGCTGGCCAGTGGTGGAGTTGCTGCCTGCTGTGCCGCCAACGCAAGTGAACACCGGCGGCGGTGCCGCCTGGGCCGCTGCCTTTGCTGCGGCCGCAACGGACATTCCGCGCCCTGCTGCCGTACCGACAGTGCCACTGGCTGTGGCCCCCGCCGCATCCAGAGCGTACATCACCTCCTCCAGGTTTGGTATCTGAGCACAGATGCGCACTGTCACTCGTGCATCCACGGCAAAGCCATCGATGGAGTCGTACACGTACACGCCAGGGTCAGAGAAGGTGTCCGCCTCCTGAACCTCCATGTAGGGGTCCCCAATCAACGTAATCACAGGAGGAGAAGAAATTGTAGAGGAGGCTGGGAGGGTCGCAACGGACGTCGAGGAGGATGTCGTGGCGGCTGAAGTGTCGCTGTCTAAATAATCCTCCAGCAGGATGTCAATGGAGGGATCCGCCGTGCTGCCCTCCACATCAGAAGCGGTTAGTCTGGAAGCCAGAGCTGATTCAGTTGTTTCGTCAAGCGACACTGCAGTCACCTGTTACAACGGCACAGAGGCGCCATCATTCGAGCAAATAGCAGAGCGATGATGCAGGAAGTTCCACCTCGCATAGATGGAGCATGCTTCAAGCAAGCAAGGCAGCAGGTGGTGTGATCTGCAGTAGCGGCGCAGGTGCATATATAGAGACCCACATAGAAAACAACTAATCCTTGGCGATATTGTTCGTAAGCTTGCAGATAGGCGCTGGAGCACCATAATTGAGCGGCCTGCAGGCGGCAGCAACACCACTGCAGTTGGCCCCAAAGCCCTGCCCACCTGTACTGTTGAGTCATACAGGCCAGGATACGCCTCATCCTGCAGTATGGTCGCCGGTGAGTTTATGATCCGGAAGTAAAACCTCTCCAGGGCAGCCATCATGACGGCGGAGCGGTTCGTCGTCCTGGCCCAGTCGGTGAAGTACACCTGAGGGACGTTCAGTGGTTTTGGGCGGCGGCATGCAGCACGCACCCGCGAAGTAATAAATTTAGCAATTTATCATGGATTTATCATGGATTTATCGGATTTATCATGGATTTATCATGGATTTATCATGGATTTATCATGGATTTATCATGGATTATCATGGATTTATCATGGATTAATCATGGATTATCATGGATTTATCATGGATTCATCATGGATTTATCATGGATTTATCATGAATTTATCATGGATTTATCATGGATTTATCATGGATTTATCATGGATTTACCATGGAAGGAGCAACAATGCAATGGCCTCTGGTTAAGATGACAAATTTCTGGATTGATGTGGTAAACGGCAGCTGTTTTAAGGAGCCCCTCCCATCATGGCTTTGTGCGTGTCTTCGTCCAACATGAGCTACCGATGCAATGTTCGTTAGATGTCCCAGATTCCAGCGTACCTTGAACGACAGCATGACAGTGCCTGGCGAGTCGCTGTTGCTGTGGGACCCTGTGGCAACAGGGATTAAGGAGACGGCGATGTTATCGATGGATGTCAGGCCGGCCCGCGATGCCAGCAGCGCCCGGTAGTCCGCCAGCATGGTTTCGGGGCCTCCGGGGTACGAGGTCATTGAAGCGGCGGACAGCGTCAGGTTGAGCGATACCACAGGGTTGACTGCCGGGTCCAACTCTGAGGACGACGCTGAGGAAAGCGGAAAGGGCGGGCGGGCATACAAGGAGAGCGAAAGAACTAATGAGGGCGGTTTGGTTAAATCAGGCTCATATATCATGCCATGCAATGATCTATATGAATGAATCTATACACGATTTCTTTTACAGTCCTACCTATTAGACGACGACCCTGTCTATAGGTCATAAAACGATTAACAGGCGCAGGAAACCTACCATTTGTTGTAGCTGCTGGCCGCTCTTGAGATGACTGGTTATGCGCTTTATTAGTGCGTAAACGTATTGGCGGATGGAGTGCACCGTTCTGCTCGACAGATTGTAGTATCCTAGGTATATATCCTGGCCCTTGCCGTCCTTTTCTGATAAGAAAGGAACCATAAAACACAGCACCTCCACACTAGCTAAGTCCCGTTATCGTGCTCTCGCCTGTCGGCTCACCCAGAGTGTCGAGTTTGGCCACGTCCATGGCCGTAACCCAGAACCGTGAGAGACGTAGTGAGCCATTCAGTGCAGGGCTTCGTACTGAGAGCAGAGCCCGGTACGTGTCCGAGTCATTGAGCAGAACCGGTACCTGGTAGGACTGGTTGTAGATCGAGAAGCTGCCTGTGAACAGGGCACTATCGGGCGGCATAATAATCTGGGCCAGGCAGGCCATCCAGCATGGGTGTCGTATCATCCTGGGTGCCTCACGGTATCTGACATCCGCAGATCAGTACTTTTCTGTGTCCGTGATACTTTTCTGTGTTAGTGGCTAGCCAAGGCGAGGGTCGATGTACACAACACACGGGTTATCACAATAAGTGCACAGCTGCGGACCAAATGGCTATTAACTTGCTCATATTGCCCATGTTTGTGTCTGTATGTTAGTCCCGCCGACCGCTCATGAATCGTGTGTGGCAGCCAAGCAACGTCACAACCGCCGCAACTGCCGCCTATTGGCATGTATAGCTATGCGAGAATGGTCGAGAGCGCAGCACGAGAGCCTACTTTAATCAGCTGCATTTATTAATGGCTTGCCACTCTCTCAGTGACCAGGAGTGGTCGGTGTAGCTTCCGTGGGCGGTGGTACCCCACCAACTCATGGGGCTTTCAACAGGGGCAAACAGATCATAACAGCCTATGATAGGGTCCTGTTGAAAGCCCAGTGAGTTGCCAGGGAGTATCCCCCTTTGATTCCGCTAACATATATACAGACCTTGAAAGGCAATAACCTGGGGCTCCTTGGCCAGCAGCAGCAGCTCCTGCAATAATGTGCTGTTGCCGTCTGGGAAGTCATCAGTGTTGTTCAGCGGTGGAGCAGCACCAGAACCAGAACCAGAACCAGAACCAGAACCAGAATCAGAATCAGAACCAGAACCAGAACCAGAACCAGAACCAGAACCAGAACCAGAACCAGAACCAGAACCAGAACCAGAACCAGAACCAGAACCAGAACCAGAACCAGAACCAGAACCAGAACCAGAACCAGAACCAGAACCAGAACCAGAACCAGAACCAGAACCAGAACCAGAACCAGAACCAGAACCAGAACCAGAACCAGAACCAGAACCAGAACCAGAACCACCAGCGCCACCAGCGCCACCAGCGCCACCAGCACCACCAGAGTTACCAGCACCACCAGCGCCACCAGCGCCACCAGCGCCACCAGAGTTACCAGCGCCACCAGCACCACCAGATTTACCAGCGTTACCAGAGCCACCAGAGCCACCAGTGTTACCAGCGCCACCAGCACCACCAGAGTTACCAGCTTTACCAGCACCACCAGCTTTACCAGCGCCACCAGCTTTACCAGCGCCACCAGCATTACCAGCGCCACCAGCGTTACCAGCGCCACCAGCATTACCAGCGCCACCAGCACCACCAGCGTTACCAGCGCCACCAGCGTTACCAGCGCCACCAGCACCACCAGCGTTACCAGCGCCACCAGCGTTACCAGCGCCACCAGTGTTACCAGCACCACCAGCATTACCAGCGCCACCAGCACCACCAGCACCACCAGCGCCACCAGCACCACCAGCGCCACCAGTGTTACCAGCGCCACCAGCACCACCAGTGTTACCAGCGCCACCAGCGCCACCAGCACCACCAGAGTTACCAGCGCCACCAGCACCACCAGAGTTACCAGTGTTACCAGCACCACCAGTGTTACCAGCGCCACCAGCGCCACCAGCGCCATTAGCACCATCAGCACCACCAGCGCCACCAGTGCCATCAGTGCCACAAGCACCACCAGCACCACAAGCACCACCAGCATGCTGCGGAAGACTCCCGTTGCCAGCGGCTGGCAACGGCGGGCACGCGTTACAGAAGAGCATTATTGGCCGAAACAACGCAGGCTGTGAACAGCTTAAGGCGCCTGAGGTAATGCCATCAGCGAAGCTATCATGGTATATGGCCCTGTGGTGGCTGTTCGCTCTGGTAAGGTGGATGATAGACCTGACTTGATATCATCGAGCTACATGGTGACAAGGAGGACCCTGTGAGAACCGTCGTACAGTCCGGTACAGTACAGTACACCACCAAAGTTAGGCATGCGCTAAAGTGCATTTCCAGCATCTCGAGAGGCCTTTTCAGCGGCCATCTATATATAGTGGCATTTTCATCAGCCAGCTACTACATGGCCCTTCAGGACATGCACATTACAGACTATTTCATGTCACAACGTTCTAATTTTGCGTATATGAGTAACGTATGAACTCGTTTGACTGCGTCCAGGCGCAGCCGTACATACTGCCGTACATACTCCTGTAGCAAGGAGCAGGGACTGCCTTCCCATCCAACACTCCTCACCCATATTGTTGCCCTCCTCCTGGGCATCGAAAACCTGGATCTCATACTGTGTCCCTCGCAGGCTGCCCGGGTATGCGTTGTCGATGTACTCAACAAGCGCTGATGGCACCAGTGTCAGCACCACACTCAGACCCGGGTCCGACTGCCACACCTGCCCATCCACCGTGTAGACTGGCATTTCCACAGTCGCCTGCCTGCCTTGCTGCACCATGAACGTCGTGTTGGCCCGCACAGCAACCGAAGATGCGGCGGTGGTGGAGCAGCTGCCTGACGCACCTGCCGCCGCGCCGCCGATGACATCAAGGAAGCACGCTGCAGCGAGCGACCGTGGCAGGTCCAGCTGTGAGGGTGTAGCAACATGTTCACAGCCTGGTGGGGCGGTTGGCGGTGGTGGTGGCGATGGCGGTGGTAGTGATGGTGGTGGTGATGGTGGTGGTAGTGGTGGTGGTCGTGGTGGTGATGGTGGTGGTGGTGATGGTGGTGGTAGTGGTGGTGGCGATGGCGGTGGTAGTGATGGTGGTGGTGATGGTGGTGGTAGTGGTGGTGGTCGTGGTGGTGATGGTGGTGGTGGTGGTCGTGGTGGTGGTGGTGGTGGTAGTGATGGTGGTGGTGGTGGTGGTGGCGGTGGTGGTGGTTGTGGTGGCGGCTGCATCGCGGGTGATGTTTGGGATGATTGAGAGCTTCCTTGGGTTTGTCCAGGGCTACGCCACTGAGTGCAGTTATAACCTGTTTGAGCACAACAGACATGCAGACTTCTTTGCAAGGGAGGACCGGTTCACGTATGAGGGAAGTATGGTAGTTATAACTGTATTGTGTATGATATGTGTCTTAAACTGTATTGTATGATGTGTGGGACAGGGGGCCATATCTTCACCCTGCGGCCGCTCCCCGGCAAAGCCCTGCCTTCCCCGGTATTTCGGGGCACCCTCATCTAGTCACCCTAGTCAACTTCTCAGTGGATCGCTCAGGTTCCGCACCCACCACCGGCATCCAACGGAATCTGCCGGATCGACGGTGACTCAACTCCATTCCTGGCCAGCTCGCAAGTCAACTTTATCCCAGGTCACCACCGTCCATCGACTAGTTGCACTTTATCTTCCCCCTTCGGAAGGATTTTCGACCCTGACAGGTCTCAATCCCGGGATCTCCCGGGGGCATTGGTGCGTGCTCTACCAGTAGTGCCTAACCTAGTATTGTGTATGTATGTATGGTGCCAATGTTAGAAGTAAACACGCCTGTAAATGATTCATACACCGTGCCCTGGCATAATAGGTATGGAGGGTCTCCACCTTATGCAGTACTAGTAAGGCATGATCTATTGATGATAAAAAGTAGCAGTGATCAAATGGAATGTCTCTGTGCCTGAAAAAACTAAAGACGGCTAGGCGCATGTGAGGCCGGCACATGACGTGACGTGGATTGGTCACCCACTGCCCGAGGGTAGGCGAAGGTAGGCACAGGCTGGTAAATGTGGTCGTAAGGGCCCGAGACGGATCCCTTCAAAGGGGGAGGAATGCAGTAGCCGGTACACTGTACGGCTACAAATACGCGCTAAGCGCTCCACCGGCATCTCGAGAGACCTCTTCAGCGGCCAGCTACTATAGACTCGGATGAAGAACTTGGGACTCGACAATGGCCACCAGCAAGCAAGTATTTTGTTTGTTTACTCAGGTATACATGTATATTATATTATATTATATAGTAATATTATATTATATTCATTTTTATATTTATATATTTATATTATATTATATTTTTATTTTATTTTATTTTATTTTATATTATATTATATTATATTATATTATATTATATTATATTATATTATATTATATTATATTATATTATATTATATTATATTATATTATATTATATTATATATGTCTGCGACCCCATTTGTATATGTGCTGCCAGATGGTCCATAGGCGACCCCAGACAACATCGCCTACAGTAGGCAGTCGTGGCGGCCAATTAATAACGACCCTAGACGAGCGGCGGCCGGGGCAACATCCCAATGTGCGTGTTACATCCTGCCTCTCATCAAGAAAGGGCTTTTGACCTGATGACACACGCAGTCAGCAATAATAATATCAGTAAGGTTACTACACAATCGCTCATCATTACGGCATTAGCAATACTCATTTACTGTTGCTCCTCATCATTCCTAAAACCCTAAAACCCTAATACCTGCTCAGCAAACTACTGTATGTGTGAACGCGATCTGCTTATTATACTGTGCACTTGTAGCTAGATAGTCAATGACGAAGCTTACCGAGGTTTGTACCATTGATAGAGATGGACATCCGTTGTACAAACCACCCAGTGGGGTCCTCTCCACATAAATCCCGATTGTAGGATAGATTACTGTATGTACACATGCACGCATATCATCACCATGCATGTGCACATCCAGGCAATCCGCACGCATGGTTACATACAGGGAAGTGAGCGAGCATGGTGATGCATAACATTACTCATTTAACATCAACATCCCGTCGGCGGTAAAAGTATGGTCTATAGACAATGTGTTTATGTATTAACTATTTTCAGGCCCTTATGCTATAACATGGCTATACCTCTTTGCACACACGATCTATAAATAAACCCGACCAGCTCATCAGCCTGATGACAACTTGTTTGAAACCTCGAAGTTTGTCGCTTAAGCAATGAATCTATAACTAATTACATGGCGGCAATATCTATACCACGAGTTCAGAAAAGTACCGATCGGCGGATGCAGATCTCGTGATATGCCCAGAATACAACACCGACCCTAATTTTAACCAGGGCACGGCAGACGATAGGCGATAGAGAATTCTACAGATACGCGCCCAGGTGCGTGCTTTTCCATTACGTAATAAACTCGTATAATTATACCCTGCGTTCCGTGACGGGGCGGACCGCCGCCGGCGGCTGTAGTAGCTGGTACACAGTACGGCATACATGTCAACTACAAACACGCGCGAAGCGCTTCACCAGCATCTCGGGAGGCCTTCCTTTTCAGCGGCCAGCTACTACAGCGGCTGGCATGCATGCATAAGTAAACCCGAACCTCCAACCATGAAGACGTTGAGTAATGTATTTGGAAGCATAGTGCAAGACAGTGCATTTTATTGTCTGCTCTTTCTCTTCCACAAGCAATCAGGCAAACGGGCAGCAACCCTAGCTGTTATATCACGATCGTCGCGATTTTTAAGAAAAGAACCGATCGGTGCATGCAAATCCCGTGATATACCCAGGATACAATCCTAGCTCGCTCATCACTTACAGTGCGCTTAAAGACGTCAAAGATGTGAATGCTTTGGGCACGGTGCCACTAAGGCCGTTGCCAGATAAGTCGAGACTTGTGAGGCTCCTTAGTGCAGTAAAATCAGCCGGTATAGAGCCTGGAGATCCGGTCAGCAGGATAAATAGATAGAGTGAGTGAGTGAGATGAGGGAGTGAGTGAGTGAGTGAGTGAGTGAGTGAGTGAGTGAGTGAGTGAGTGAGTGAGTGAGTGAGTGAGCGAGTGAGTGAGTGAGTGAGTGAGTGAGTGAGTGAGTGAGTGAGTGAGTGAGTGAGTGAGAGAGGTACAATAATGTTATTCGTGCCACAGTGGGGCTCGGTACCGAACGAAGTAAATCAAAAGAACGGCGGTTCCGTCGCAATGTTTGTCATACGTACTCGAGCTGCGAGCATTTGAGATACGACATTTAGGACTATTCACATGAACGTGCTATGGTACACATACAGCAGTAGCTGCGTGGATCGCGGTACGTTGGTATCGATGCAGGATAGAAAGCCGGCAAATTTGCACACTTTAAAGTGTGCGTGTGGCCAATCCTTGCGATTATTGATGACGTGATGAGCTGCAAAAGCGACACGGGCCCTCGCATGGTCGTTGTATCCCAGCATCCCTAGGAGAACCAACCTATACATCTGCACTATTTCCGCTTAGAGTCGAGTCCCAAAAGAAAGCATCTGCATCTGCATGTGCATGTGCATGTATGTGCCGGCTGCAGCCTAAGCAAAGTCATCATTATGACATACACGTACAGCAGTAGTGCATCATGTTGCAAGTGGCTGCTGGCTTTCAAGGGCCCAGTCGAGTAAAGCCGTACAGATCTGTACGGACAGCTACTGGCCTGCTGCAGGTCATGCAGAGGCTGCCGCCAGATATGCACCGACCTCGCAAGCCAAAGCCTGTTATGCGCAGAGTCTTCAGCTGGACGAGCTTCGAAAAATCATCAAGCCTGACGGACGCATCTTGCGTTCCTGTAATGGGTACCCACCGGTGCATGTATGTGCATGTCCGGGCAGGACAAAAGAAATGACGAGCAATGAAGTGCTTGCCTGCAAAAGTTTTCAACCTCGTGCCCTTGCTGTATATCAAACACGGCTTGGGCCTTATCTGTGCATTGCACACTGATATGATATACACGCAGGGCAACCTCCCGCTGCAGCTGTCGTACAGTACGGCACGCACATACACGCATCGTCTGCATATGAATATGTGTTAAAGCGCTCTGCCGGCATATTCAGAGGAATTTTCAACGTCCAGCTACTACCTCGTGCCTCAGATCCCAGTTGTCAGCACGTGCAAGCCGTGAGGATGCAAACGAGGCGATTGCAATCATTGTCAAGTTATAACTAACTAACTAACTATCATCTACGTAGTAACGCATCACCATGGGCCGTCATGAAGGATCTCTTCAATCAAAACCACGATGCAGGTACCCCTCTGCAGATTCATAAACAGATTCTCGCTCGCATCGTCAGGGCCAAGAAAAAAAACCACGCATCATCCGCGCCCACATAGCGGCACGACGTAGTTTTGCGCGAAAGCGATGAGCACAGCAGCCTAAGTATCATCGCATACACGCATGCATACATCCATACACACGTCCCCTCGCCTGTTGTGTTGAGAATCTCGAGACTTTTCAACTGAGTGAGAGATAGCAGAGCCGCGTTGATGTGCAGTCCGGTGAAGTTTACGAAGACCAAGCTGGTGAGGAGGTCAAGCCCCGGTTCTAGGTCGCCTGCAACCAAGAAAGGAGCATACAACTTGCACTTGCACTTGAATTTGCGTTCTACTGTTTCGATCAAGGCTGGAGATTCCCTCCATATAGTCAAGTTAAATGACGGGCGCTTGTACTATGAGAGAAGCTGTAGTAGCCGGTACACTGTACGGCACACATAACAGCTACAAGTACGCGCTAAACGCTCCACCGGCATCTCGAGAGGTCTTTTGAGCGGCGGCCAGCTACTACAAAAGCGGTCGGCATAATGAATGTGTGGAAGCAAGCGCATGGCAGAAAGCAAACAAGCACGCACATAGTACTGAATAATGCGATCTACCTAGCTCAGCTGTGTGGTACTAATGGCGCTTGTGGTGGAAAAGGCATCGCGGTTGCCTTGCAGCAGGGCATCAAAGTGCACGGTAACGAAATCTGCAACGGTCCTGCCGTACAACTACATTGATTTATGTTACAGGTTGCGCGGTTCAGTGATTGTTCATCCGATAAAGGATGGGTTACATTCGTACACCTTGGGTGCTAGCAGCAGGTATACCAGAGCAGCAGGAGCGAGGCACTGGTAGCGTATTAACATGCCTGCACGCGTACGCGTCCAGGTGTTCTAATCTAGGCGTATCACGGGATCTGCATCCGTACTTTTCTGTAGCAGTTGCAGTCGTGGTATAACACCATGCATGTACGCGTAACGCTTATCTAGCTTGACAACTTCTAGAAGTAAACGTTGCCTTCCTCTCGAAAGTCCTTTACGTATGCCAGGGAGCGTAAATAGACACTGCTTCTACATGAACGCAGTCCCCGTGCACTGCGTACGGCCGCTGTATGTGCACGTGCAAGGTATGTATGTGCAAGCGCATATGTAAACATGTACACGGCATGCCGGCGGTTAATTAGTTATTTAGTTGAATACGTGCACAGGTGAATAGCGGAGCACGTGTGCACAGCATTGCGCTTCTGTGGCGGCTTTTTTGCCAAATGCAAATGCTACAAACCTTGCTTGTAACAACACTGTTAAGCCAGCAGGTGCTACCGGTCGCAACGCCCGTGCTACACTCTCCCTGCCTGCCGCATACACGCACAACCATTAGACAAACCTGGATCCCATGATGGTGGAATTGAACAATTAGGCTGCATCATGTTAGTAATGTTGATGCCTGTGACGCGCGCTTGTGATGTGGTGGATGGCTGTGTATCGCACTTGATGAAAGGTGTTGAACAAACATTTTTATCCGAAACCGCATATGGAAAGACAGGACAATAGGTCTTATTGAAGAATTCGTCGACCCGATTAGCGTCATCGATGAGTCCTGCCGATAATACTCCTCCAGTAGCTGCTAACAACCAAATTGCAACCAGCCAAAGGGCTAGGAAGGATCCCAACGGATAAAAATGCTTCTTTTGCTGCAACACCGGCAGCAAGCGTATCGAGTACTTGGCGTTCATCCCTGCTGCTGCTGCTTCTGCTGGTCGTCAGCTGCGACAGTGCAGTCATAACACTGTTATCCTGCCCAGAATCTGTATTTATTTAGGCGCAATAAGCTGCTAACTACTTCGACATCGCTGCTACGTGCATCGACATGAACCTTGGTAAGGCACTCTCATCATCACGCTTTAGCACTTACATTTGCTGATGTCACGCACATCGCTGCTGTCTCAATGTTTAAAATTTGAAGAAAATAGCAAAATTGCATAATCGCCAATGGAATGTACCTGGTACGGGGTCGCCAAGCGACACTGCTGCTGCAAATGTAGGCAGCAGCAGCAGCAGATGAACAGTTACGATAGACGTTACTAAGCAGTACTGCTGCGCATAATATAATGCACATGCAAACGGACTGAACCGAAGGGGCACTGTGCTATGCAAGCAATCATTCAAGCACATACACTCTGCGGGACGCGTTACTTATTTTTTCGGAAGTCAAAGAAGCTGGAACACATGCCGGTCGTCCCAATACAATATTAATACTTACGAAGCTCGTGCATACGATAATTGTAAAGGCTTATTTATAGGAACCCGGGAGTATTGAAGATAAAGAGTTCATCAGCAGTCCTGCCACCCGCCGAATATGGAAGGCATATTATGAAAGACATACATAAAATGGCGTGAGTGCAAACCGCCGTATTTGATAGAGCGCGTTTCGCTTTTCATGGATGATTGCGCTGGCTGGTGTGGAAGGACAACGACATTACGTGCACCGTTAGTTCAGCGGATAGATGTGTCCTTCAATACGTGTTCTCCCCATCTCTCCCCATCGTTGGCCCTGCCCTTACACGCCCTCCTTTAAATCTAGGCCACTGCTGCTGTCATCCAGGAAAAAGGGGGCCTACAAGTCCATAAAACCAGTACCGTACAATCCGTGAAATTTACACATTTTATACAAATTTACGGGTTTCGCAAGTCAACCGCCATTTCACGGACGCGAGCTGATTCCGTTGGATGCCGGTGGTGGGTGCTAAACTTGAGCGATTGATCCACTGAATTCGGAGAAGTCGGCTAGGGTGACTGGATGAGGGTGCCCCGAAATACTGGGGAAAGCAGGGTTTCGCCGGGTAGCGGCCCCCTGTCCCACACATCATACATAGGGCCTCCATGATGCCGCCCCAGATCAGATGCATGTGGGCAGCAAGGGGGGAACCGGGAGGGAAGCAGGCGGCGGGAAGAGGGAACATCAGGACGCATCAGGGGCCCAACGCATGTCATCAGGCGCACGCAAAGTGTTCACAGTCACAATATTGACAACAGTGTTCCCGCCTCCGGTGGCCGCGGCGGCTGGGGATGAAACGCCTCACCCAGCCATAGGCTGAAAGGGGTGCGGCATGGCAAGAAAGGCATTAGCTGCTGGTTAGGCTGGGCAACTTGAAACCGCTATGTACGGCAGACGAACGAGCAGCAGGGGGACGAAAACAGGGATGGACAGGGTGAATGCAGAGCTGTATGCAATGGAGGGCCTAATTTAATGAAACACACAACGGTACAGAACGGATGCGAGCTGAGCAGTGTAACACCAGGCAAAGAGTACTCAGGGAGATGCCAAGGGAGCCGATCCCCTTCTTACAAACAGGACTGATCTGGGCTGCTGCTTTACCTGGCTGCTTTGGCTATTTGCTTTTGACGCTTTATGACGCAGGCGAAAACGCACAATAACACCATTAACATGTCCCCCGGTCGCACAGCCGGCGGGGCACATAGTGGGTGTCGTAGCTGGCCGCTGAAAAGGCCCCTCGAGATGCTGGTGGAACGCTTAGCGCGTATTTGTCTTTGTTATATGTGCCGTACTGTGCCGTACCAGCTATTATAATGGGGAAACGCAGGATACCAATGATAGGCCCCAAAGCTTGACCTAAATAGCCTCGTAGCAAGTAGAACTGTGCACAAAGCGGGAAGTCAAACCAGCATGCCCTGCCACGAGTTTTATGGGAAATAACATCAGTAATGTTTCAGTCGGACATTACCGTGCTACTTTGTTACATCGTGGACCTTCAGTCCCGGTGGGAAGCGAAGATTGTTATTATCGCGCAATCAATTTCACGTGGGACGCGGGTAGGTAGGCGGCCGAGAAGCAGGCCGAGCACTCGTTGCATGCCCGAGGCGTCGGGGTATATGCCGGCCACCTACCGGCACCTCGTAGCCACGTTGAAACTCCCGCGGCATTTCATGAGCCTCTTGGTTCGTTTGGCCGTACAAACTCGTAAAGCCCAAAACGCAAAAACGTCATTCCCGGTGGCGTGAGCACCGCCATAATCCGATTAGACCTTCTTCCCGTTTTCCCCCCCACAAAACATGCCACACTAATCCCAAACCGGCATAGAGGTGCGAGCCCAGCTTACACAGCATTTCTTCCCCCTCAATTCCGGAACAGCCCTTTCGTTGGACACAATAGACATTTTTCGCGCAGTTCTATGCAAGTGACATTTTCTCCATTCGTTCACAAAATTGCAACCAACCAGAATGTGATTCATAAGCAAAAAAATAAGCAATCAAAACGTGTACGTCCGCGACCGCGTTTGGTGCCGCATCCTCTCGTTGTGTCTATCGCCCGGGCATCGGCCCTAATGGTGCCAGTGATCCTGGCCGCGGAAGAGTGGCAGCACCGGCGGCGCCGCCCAAGGGCCCGAGCGGTGCCAGCTTCCCTCCGGGCGGTCCCAACGGTGTCAACAGGGCGCTCGGAGGCGGCAACGGCGGCGGCAATGGCTGCGGAGGCGCGGCGGCCTCTGCCTGCGTTTCCAATGGCGGGTGTGCGGCGCCATCCTCTGACGGCTGGGGAGCACCTGAAGGTGGAGCTGCTTGGACAGTCGCAGGAGACGATGACGTTGGCGGAGCTGTAGCCAGTGCTGCCGCCGCGCCTGGCGGCGGGACAATCACTGGAGCAGCGCGCGGTGGTGGAGCCGCCGGCGGGGGGGACGCCGCTACTGCCGCCGGTGCCGGAGACGCCCCTACTGCCGCCGGCGCCGCACCCGGTGGCTGAACCGCATGCGCTGTGACTGCCGTGTGCTGCTTTCCAAACTTCTGCAGGGCATCCAGCAACTCGTCCAGGCTGATCCGCATATTGCGATTTTGGTCGTGCACGTAGAGCAGCGCCAGGATGAACTTCTTTTCGCGGGGCTCCAGTCCAGGGATGGAGGCCACAAGCTGCTGCAGCTCTAGGTGGTCCAGCTGGCCGTCGCTGTTCTCGTCAAACTGCTCAAAAACGTCCCGGATGATCTGCTCATTTTCGGTTAGGTAGTCCTGCGGGGTTGCGGGGCCGACGGCAGCGGCAGCAGCAGCGGTGGAGGTAAAGGTGAAGGTGGGGCCCTGGAACAGATACGGTAGGTGGCACACATTCACATATTAGACTATCCAAGTGCGTGTGGATGGATGGGTGCCAGCCGCGGGAGACGAAGTTGCCATCCTTTGACTTCCCGTTCCCTTCCTTTCTTTTCCATCCCAGTCGATTCCCGGTAGGCTACAGTTCCCCGTAGCTCCATCGCAGTTTTCTTGGCTAGTATAACACAGGTACCCCTTAGAACTTCCTTAGAAATAGCAAGTAAAGACGTATGCGGAGGCCTCGGTCTCAGCCTCCGCAGCCGTGGATGAGGCCTCCGCCTCCGCCTCCGCAGGTAAACCACATGAAATCTCATTTAAGTAGTGAGCCACGTGTGAGCCCCAACCAGCCCCCAGGAGCCGCCCTTACCTTCAACCGTGGGACCACGTCGTCGTCATCTCGCCCCGCTCTGATCTGTTCCTGTATCAGCACGTTCTCCGGCAGCCCCGACACGAACTCCCGCCGGCTAAGCAGGAGCTCCTGATCACCACCACCACCACCACCACAACAACAACAACAATCATCAGCGGGGAGGATTGAAAGCATTGCTATCTCAAAGGCTAATGATGGGGATCATGACGATGGGGAATGGTAAATTCCTTAGGGGTAGTTGTATTGTTGCTCTGGGGCCCTATGACGCCCCTAGTGCCACCGCAACCTCACACGATGTATCATGGGCAGTACTGGCTTAGACAGCAGCAGTCGCATACGTCACGTTACGGAGAGGAGTGTGATGTAGCCGTGTGCAGCTGTGTGGTGGTGGCTTAGAAGGTGCGATATAAAGTGTGCATAAGCCCCTCCTCTTCACCTTCCCATGTAGCGCCCAGCCAGCCAACCTGCCAGCCAATTAGCCAGCCCGCCAGCTCACAGGAGCAGTAAATAGGTGGAAGCGACGGAAGGAAAGCATTCAACCCAGGCACACGCCTCTACCCCTCCAGCCTTCCCGGCCCCTCCTCGCCCCACCTCGCCCGCCTCCACGGCGTCTGTGTCCAACATGGCTTGAAAGTGCTTGACGTCCATAGGGCTTGCGTCAGGCAGGTAGGCGCGCATCAGCTCCGTAAGCTCGGAAGTGCTCAGCTGTCCGTTACCGTCACGATCGTACTCCGAGAACGCCATATCCAACGTCTTGCTGCGCTGTGCTAGCGCCCCTGCCAAGCGACTAAACACGTCGTCGCCGAGGGGGCCGGCTGGTCTTGCGACCGGTGTTGGCACTGACGATGGTGCGGCTGCCGAGACCGGTGCCATGGCTTGGGCTGGTGCCGGGGCCGGCGGAGGAGGAGTCGCCGCCGGCGCCGCAGCCGCCGCCGGGACCGGAGCCGCAGCCGCCACCGGAGCCGCAGCCGTCGCCGGGACCGCCGCCGTCGCTGGAGCCGGGGCTGGGGCCGGGGCCGCCGGCCCAACACGAGCAATGGCCTCCGGCGGCGGCGGCCCCGGCGGCAGCGGTGCACTCGCGGCCACCGCCGCCGCCGCCGCGGGGCCCCCACCTCCGCTCCCCGGCATTGGTATCCCCAGGAGCGCGTGCCGATTGAAGTACAGGTCTATCGCGGGTATAGTGCTGGAAATGAGGCTGAGCTGCCGTGTCGTGGGCTCCTCCATGAATGTGCAGAGCATGTAGCCTCCTAGCGCATCATCCGCCGCCGCGAAGGGCACTGTGGTCAGGTTCCACAGCTCCTTGAGCAGGGCTGCACCCTCGCGCGGCGCTTCCACCACACGGCAACCCAACAGATCGATCCGGCGCCCGTCGGAGGTGCCTGATAGCGCCACGCAGCCCGCCAGCACGCGCCAAAACTGCGACAGCTCCGTTTTAGAAGCCAGCTTCTCTGGCGACGTGCCGGCGCCCTCCAACAGGCCCACGGTGCCGGGTTTGCTCCCCGGGGCGACCACCGCTATGGACGTGACCTTCTGTGTCCCAAGCGCTTTCTTGACGTAGCGGAGCAGCTCCTGAGGGGGGTGCGTGTTGGTTTGCGTGTTGGTTTGCGCTGGGGGTTGTTGCGTGTCATGTAGAATCGAGCCGCGACAAGGGTGCGTGTTTATTGGAAGTGACGGTCCCGATCGATCGATCGATCCATGCATCCGAATATTCATCCATACACCCGTCCATCCATTTACTCCTTCAACCCTGATGCGAACATTAAACCAGGTGTACCTCTGCATGCATTACGTGGTGCATGCATAAAATAACAAAAAGGGAACCCTTTGGTTCATCACACACATGCATGCTTCGTCCCGTAGCCTGGCTGGCCTGAATGGTCGCCGTGATCCTCACCGGCACAGTAACTGACTCACTTGTAATGTGAAGTTTTTCCAGTCGTACACGACGTACGCCACATTGGGAAGCACCGCCCGCGCAACCTGCGGGGGAGAGTGAGGTCGGGTACATGTACGGGAGGAATCATGTCCTGCACTTGTACATCGCATCCTAGCCCCATATCCCCTTCTTCTGGTCTACACCTCCTCCCTCCCTCCCTGGACTTCCTCCCCTCCCCTCCCTCCACATCGTTACACAGCGCCATGATGTGGGTGCGGCACGGCGCGGCGCGGTGCTGCTGCTTGCACGTCGTACCATGTCGGGGTTATGCACGCGTGAGGAGATGAGCACGAGCCGTTCGTACGGCGGTTCTGTGGCCAGACGGGGGTTGGACACCAGTGGAGAGTACAGCGGCGGGGTGAGGGGCGCCAACATGATGCCCGGGGGCAGCCGCGGGGGATCCGACTGCCAGGGGGGAACAGGTGCCACGCCAGGCGGTGCGGCTGACGGCGGTGTATGTGCTGGCGCTACTCCACCTGCATGGCAAAGGCGCAGCGGAACGCGCGAGGCCCGAGGCGCGAGGACACGCTTGAGGAGGGGATAAATGCGTCCGGCATTAGGCCCTGCCATGTCTGTCTGTCTGTCTGTCACGATGCTCTTCGCGTGTTATCGAGCATTAGACAGACAGATATCCATACACGTACCGGCAGTTACAGGTAGGGCGATACACGCACCGCCCAACAGGTCATCCTGCCGTGCGATGGCTTATGTGCTTGCATTGCAGATGGAGGCCCTAGCACCAGAGGCCATGAACCCCCAGCTCTTGTTGCCACACGCCCCGCAAACGCTCCACAAAGGACCACCTAGGCGCCTACCTGAGCTAGTTTTCTGATGCACCGGCGGTGTGACCATGGGTTGGGAGTTGGCCCCCTGCGGGCCCTTCTCCACATCGCCTACACCGCCACCGGCGCTCTGTAACAAAACACGGAAATCAGAGGGGACAGGACGAAAAGATGAGCCGAGATGCGGAGTGTTAATCGCGTCGTAATCAGTCTGGTCGGGTAGTGGCCGTATGGCCGCGTTAGGGCACCTCAACATGTGTTGGGAATATGTGCGTATGTGTGACAGGTGGGTCAAGAGGGGCGTATGTCTATGTCAGGTAGCCAAGCAACCCAGGCGCAGCCCAGCCAGCGGGCCCTAACCATCACACCTTGGCAGCTCCCGCGTCTTCACTTGGCGCCACGGGCGCACTCCGCCCACGGCCGCATTTGGTGATTATTGCCCAAATGGCCATGGCTATTATGAATAGGCCGACGACGATGCACAACGCGAGGATTGCCCATCTGAAGGTATTGTTGTCCAGCACCGACGTAAGTGCACGGCGACCTGGCGTAAGGCAGAGCGGCGGAGGGAAAGCACAATACGGCTGGGGAAGGTAAAAGGATGGCTCGGGTGCAGTCAGCGGGCCTTATGATGCGGCCAAGGGCTCAATCATCATGTATGGTGGGTTGTTGTACTAGACTTGCCTGGACGCACCGGGACGCTGAAACCTGTTGGCAATGGTTCCACCACTTTGGCGTTTCCTGCGGGCAGCGATGTGTATGGCGTGCTCCATTATATGGACTGGATAGGGGCGTGACTCGGTCCAACCGACACGTCTACTCGCCGGCGTCAACTCACCAGTAGGGCTCCATGTAAAGGGGCTGATACTAAAGGATATGTAGCGTATGTGCATATCAGTCGTGTCACTGCTTATTACGGCCCAAAGTCACGTTTGGGTAGATAGCTGTCGGTTGCATGGTCGTTCGCTGGGCCGCGGGCCTCTATTTGATTCCCCTATGTGACTCTGACTGAGCAGTCTGACGGCCAGACAATTAAAATAAATGCATCATGGTAAGGTTTGATGATACCAAGAAGCACAAACGTCGGGCGAGGACCACGGCTGGAATCATGTACGCAGATGTCTAAAACTTGACTTCTTAACAATTAGGTGTGAACATAATTGCGCAAACAGAATGCGTTGTCAAGGACAGATGCATTTGGCTTTCAGTCAAACCCGTACCACAGTACGCCAATTGGGAGTTACTCGCTGCACAAGCCCTACAGTAGCCGCTTAGGTAACTGCGGTGAGCAATTGATTTTCAGTATTTGTGCACGCCTGCATATTCGACACAGCTTCGGATAGGGTGCGCGCGGCGTGGTGTTTGCAGTAAATAATATTTTAGAGGCGATGCATTCTAGACGTGACATTGTTACAATTAACCCCCTGATGCTGTCTACCGGCAGCTGAGAAGGGCGTCCCAGCGGTGGAGATGCATTCCTGGACCTGAGATAAGAGACAACGTCGCAAACAGCTTGTGACGAGTAAACAGAAATGATGGAAGAGTCTGATGTACAGACTTCCAGCTATGGCGCGGCTTCCAGACCTGTGGCGACGCCTAATAGGCCACAAGGACAAAGAGGTTCCCCAGGACTCCAGAGCCGAACTTCAAATAGTAAGCACTATCTCGTGATATGCCTGAAACTGTGACGGCATGTGTGGGACCTTTCGTAGCGGTTTGGCATGCTAAAGAAACCTCGACCTTATAGCAAGCCGTGGAACGACACACTTGTACACATCAAGTACTTCTGTCCACTTGTGCGTGTCATTCCTCGCATTCTGGCACGGCCTGCGTAGAAGGCTGTTGGGGGAGCGGGGTTCCCCGTGATTTGCTCCCTCCCACTCCCGCTGCAGTGGCCTCCACTTCGCGGGGCCCCGCGCGGCCCCCCTCTGGGGCTCTCTCTGGCTGGGAGGACGACTCCCCTCATCCAGGTGCTGAGCTGCTGGAGTACCTTGGCAAGGTGTGAATTGGGAAATGAGGTCAAGAGAAGTGAAGGGAACCGGGTCAACGGGTGAGGAGGAAAATGTGCCCAGCGTCGAAAACGTTGAGTTGAGCCAAGTGGCGAAAAAGATTCCACCACCGCGCCCTGCACTTTTCTCCATCTGGGTTCTAGTCACCGAAGCCTTGCTGCTCCATCCAAGCTTGTGCGTCACGATCCTGGCGTCTCCAGGCCCACAATCTTGACAGCGACGCTTCAACGCCCTGGCAGGCACCGTCAAATACAAGTGACCCCTCACATGCGCTGCTTGCGACACGAGTGGCGGTGGAAGGGAGCGCGAATGCAACCGGGGACACAGCCCTAGCCCGCAAGTCTTCCCTCAAGTCCCAGAGCAGCGGAGGTAGCTACGCCGGACGAGCCGAAAACAAGAGCCGACTGGCCCGTGGGAGAGGCTCGCCGGCAAATAGCACATCACCGCTCCCGCCAGGCAACGGCGACCAGCAACCCGCTTTGCCGACAGCGGCATCAACTCCGGCGATGCCTGAAACGGCAGCGGCAGAGCTGAAGCAGAGGTCAGCGGTGCTGTTTACAGCACCGGCAACGCCGGAGGGAGAAGCTCGTCCAGAGGGTTCTCTACAGGCGTCGTGGTCTCCGGACCCAGAGGGTGGCGAGGGCGGCGGCGTGAGCGGTGCAGAAGCTGACAGGCTGCGCGGCTTGTTGTACAGTGACGACGAGGACGGCGGCGATGACGACTATCAGGACCTCATGACGGCGGACGATGACGCGCTTTTTGGCGGTGTTGAGCACAGCGGCGGTGGCGGAGCCGGCAAAGGGGGACGCAAGGGTGGCGGCCGCAACAGCCGAACTCTTGCACCGACGGGCGCGAGCTCCACGTCGGCGGCATCCGGGGCCCCGCGTCTCAGCAGCTGCGGTGGCGAATCAATGCCGGATCTCCACACCGCTGCCAGCAGTAGCGTCGTGACAACTGCTAGTGGCGACGGCAACGCCGATATGCCAGCTGGCCGCACCGGTGAAGCCGCTGTCACCGCCTCCCTAACAGCCGCGGGTATTGTCTCCGATCCGTCCGCCTCCCCTATGGTCCTTGATGACATTCCGGGGCCAAGTAGCCCGCGAAAGGGCGCTGGCAGCGGTGACGCAAACGACCATGACCCAAATACCTCGCTGCCGCCGGGACAGGAGGGATGCACATCGCCGGTGTTCCCCTCATGGGCTGCCAAGGGCGACGGTGCTTTGGGACTGCCGGGCCCCAGCTTTCGCGGTCCTGCAACGGAGGCGCTTGAGCGTGTGTTATCCGGCCGCGTGTCAGGTTCAGGTACCCTGGGCCCAGGGCCCCTAGGATCGGGCATCCTCGGCACAGGCCCCTTGAGCTCCAGCCCACGGATGTCACCGCCGCTGGAGGCAGCAGATCACGAGCCGGTGGCAGCTGCCGCGGCCCTGCAGGGTCAGGGCCACAGCCAGGTCCTCGCGCCACATCATTTTCCGAATGCCGGCAGCCATCACCACCACTATCAGCAACACCATCAGCAGTACGTTTCCATACCCACGCCACAAATAGGGGAGGGCTTGCGGCAGCACCCCCCGCCGCCGCCGCGTCGGCTCTACCTACCTGGGTAAGGGCGCTTCTTTTGTATTCGCACCCAGGCGTGGGGTATGATGAGGGGGCTCCTTCGTCGTGCTCGCCTGTCGGCAGTATGAAAAACATGTTTCAGCACAGACGCGAACGCCGCTCGGCGGTTACATACCGGGGTGCTTCACCCGCTACGGGGCTGATTGCCGCATTGCGCCTGTAGTCCTGGCTGGAGCATCGCGCGCGGGCTGTAGCGCTGTTACTCATCGTCTGGTTGAGATTCCAATCTGTGAATGGCGATTCTTTTGATCTGCCGCCTGCATGACGCCATTTTTCGGGACGGGGCTTCTCTGCTAGTGGACCAGTGGAGAAGCTGATTGTGGGAGGGGGGAACTGCTCTGGTCTCACCTCCCAAACCAAAGGCGCTCCGGAACCAAAGGCGCTCCGGAACCAAAGGCGCTCCGGAACCAAACAAATAGAGACTCTTTCGGGTCATATATGCAAGAGAAAAAAGCCTTTTTCACCTGCTGGTCGCCGCCGCTGCCGCCTCCTCACCCCGCAGACAAAGCAACCGGTCTCCTGTTCGCGGCTCCGGCTACGTGGTGTCGCATGCTTCGGTCCGGACTAACTCGCCTTCCAAGTCGCCCAGCCGCGGACTGCACTCCGCAGTGAATCCACACCACACCGCGCTCCCGCAGGCATCCGGTAAGGGGGTAGGGCTTAGCATGTGGGTCTCTCCGGCGGCGTGCGGGATGGCGGTGTGCGGGATGGCTTTCCTCCTTTTGCGCCAGCGCGGGAGCTTGCAGGCTGCTTGGTGGTGCGGGTGGTTAGAAGCTGGGAGGAGGGTCAGCACGTCCATTACCCGAATGATTTTGTACTTAGATACTAAAATTTTGTACTTAGATACTTATTTAGATACTAAACATTCTACGTACGCGATTTATACACGCAGTTGAGCCAGTGGCATGGTTTGGAGTCCGGCTTGTTCTGTGCCTGGTGTTGGGAGTTCACGGGGGAAGCTAGCGGGGGCCCTGTAAATGTTGGTTGTCACGTTGGTTGAGAGGGCACTGAGCGCGTTTGAGGGCGAGCTGGTGTTGGGCTCTATGGAGGAGGGGCGAAGGGTAGTTGTGTGTGATGCTTCCTCGCCTTTGTGGTGATTGCAGTCGCGTCGGCATCCCGCGTCGGCATCCCGCGTCGGCATCTCGTGTCGGCATCTCGTGTCCGCCTGCTCGCACACCACCGCGACTGCACCTCCTGCCGTGTTGCACATGCCGCACTCGCGGCTTCCCCATCCGTGCGGTAAAAGCAGCATCGGTTCTATTTATCCACTGTGTTGCATTGTGTTTTTGCCCCACCCAATACAACTCCCTGCAACAACCTTTAATGGGCGCGACGCGCTCGCACTGGGACATATGGCACATGTCGCTCAGTGCCATGTACCTTCCCGTGCCTCACAAACCCTTATCCTCCCTCGCCGCATGCTCCCGTGCATCCCCTCCGCAGTCCCTCGCCGCCTGTCCTCCCCTTCAATCACGCTGGGCAACCCTAGCTCCCACCGATCGCGCTCCCCCCGGGAGTCTAACGCCTCGGCTGCCTCCACAGCCGGGGCAGCTTTCCACGCCGACGGCGACGAGTTCGCCATCGCGCCCGGCGGCACTCTCGGCGGCCTTGGTATCCCGGCCGGCAGTAGCGGCGCAGCCGGCAACGGCACGGGCCTGAGTGGCAGCGTGCTGAAGATGGGCTCCTGGGTGACGGGAACTGCCGCCGGCAACGGCGGCGTTACCGGCATGGCCAACGGCGGCGTGAGTGGTAGTGGCGGCGGCAGCAGTCACGGCCTCGCCCTCGGCCACAGCTCATTAAGTCGCTTTCCCCCTGCACACGTACAGAATTTCCCGGGGGGTCAGGTGTACCGGTCCACGCCAATCAGCCAGGTGTCGGGAAGCTCATCAGAGGAAATGATGCGGATGGAGGCGCTGGGCGGCGCCGGCGGCGGCGCGGGTGCAGGCCCTGTCAGTGGCGGCAGTGGCGGGCTGGGACAGGGCACACCGCGTGGTGGTGGCAGCCCTGGTCGACTAAGCGCGCGTCCTGTACGGGTGAGTCACCCGGGTGGCATTGGGAGGGACTTACGTGCCAGAGGAGATAAAACGTCAACTGGAGACGTCCAAAGCACCAACTGCTAGAGTTCAGAGCAAAAAATACGCAGCTGTCCGAGAAAAAAAAAGGTTTGGCTGCCGCTTGCTCCTCGCTAAACGTCCTGAACTGCAAAGGATTGCAGTAGCGAGCCAGCGCTGCTTGTCGTGGCCCCCTACAGCCGCTGTGTCGTCACGGGCAGGCATCTGCATCGCGAGCTCTGTGGGCCAGACAGGGCAGCTGCGAGTCACGGGGCAGCCAGCAGGCAAACCCAGACCTAAGGATTAACTATACTGCCATATAATCTTAATCTGCGCACACGTGTCGCAATTTTGTATCACGGCTTCTTTATGGACTCTTCGGCTTTCATATATTCTGCTCGACTGGATGACCCCATTGTCTTTCGAACCACGCTACCTCAATATTCGCGTTCTGGTTGCGTCCCAACGCCTCATGTTGCACCTCTTTCCTGCAGCAGCCAAGGGCAGCGGTGGCATCCTCGTCTGGCGGCCCCGCCGGAGCCGCAGGCGGCGCATCCAGCTATGCGCACGACCGCTTTGGGGGCAGCTTCTCCGCTCCCACGCGCCCCTCCACGTCGCCCCACAAGCCCCGCTCCAGCGGAACCGCCCGGTCTTCAGGGCTCGTCAGTGTCGGGACCCTGTCCAGCGCGGCGGCGACATCCATCTTTAGCAACGGTGCCGTGGCGGAGGCAGTCGACGCTGCTGCTGCTGCCGCCGCCGCCATAGCGGCGGCCACGGCGCCGCCGTCACGCGGTATCATTGTCCCTGCACTACCTCCGTACCCCGCCGCGCACGGTATTCGCCACTGTGGTTTCAAGCAGGCCGTGGCGTCACCTGTTAGCGGCGGTGCTGCCGGTGCAGGGTCAGTACTCTACGCCGGGAACGGGAGCGCCGCCGCGGCCGCTGTGGCAGCTGCCAACAGTACAGGCGCCAGCGGCGCCTTCGGCTCGACGTTCTCAAGCGGCCGCCCTCGGGCGGGCGCTGGAATCGACGACCGCTTGAGGCCTCCGGCACTGAACAAGATCTTATCTGGGGTAGGCCTAGCAGCAGGACCTAACACCAGCCCGCAGGAGCACACGTCGCTCCTTTCACCATACGTGCAACCGCTGTCGCCCCGGGGCGGCGCTGACGCTTTTGGCGGCGGCAGTGTGTCCGTCGCAGATACGGCCACAGCAGGCGCCACAGCTGCCACGGCGGAGACTCCTTCCTCGCATCCTCAGTCTCAGCCGCAACTGTACCCGCACCACCAGCAACAGCTGCAAGGGGGGGTTCAGCGCAAGGGTTCCTTGCCGCATCTGCCACCCTCATCGGAGTCGCAGCCTCCCTCGGGTCCGTCATTGCATGGTCTCTACGGAGCCGCTGGCGTGTTCCCGCAGCCGTACGCGGCTGCAGGCACCGCATTGACATTGTTCGGGCGCACCGCAGCCGGTAGGAATGGTACGATATTCGAGCAGGGTCTTCCTTCCGTACAGGTAGCGCCGCCGGCATCTGGGATCCGCAGTCTCAGCTTTGACACGACGCGTCGCGCCACGCCGCGGGCTTGACAGACCGGCCGATTGACGGCGTGGTGTTGGGACTGATATCGGCGTGGTGTTGGGATTGATAATCCCCTGCGCGCAAAGATTAGATGGGTATATATATTATGTATAGGGATGCTCTGCAGTGTCGGGAATATGGCGCGAATTTGGAGCCGCTTGGATACTGGTATATGCCATTATGCTATGCTGCGTTCACTTGGCATGGGTTTATGACTTCAACGTTGAGCTGCGTTTACTATCAAAGAGTGAACTATGTGTCGTGCACTGTACAACTATTGGGGGTCTGTGGGTGCTATGCTGCTTGGTTAAGGACAATACTACGTAAGCTGTTGCTGCATCGTGCATGCAGTAGGAAGGCCCGCTTCCTCCTCCGCATCCCTTACCGCCCTCGATGGACCTGTGTTTTACTTGCTGTGCTTCGTTGCCCTGACGTTGGTGCAGCCTTGCTGTGCCTGTGCTACGGAGGTTGTTCGATACTGCAAGAGCAGGTGGAAAACGTGTTTCGCATGGTGCTTGAGTATGATGTATTAATTATCTGTTTACGCGTGCATGGGGTACGAGCGTCTGTTTGCAGGCTACGCCAATGTGAAACAGCAGGTACGTAAAATGTTGCAATGTCATCGAACGGCCATGTAATGCGCATGCGTGATTGCTGCAGGCTGGTTGTTTCTGGAGCGGAAGGTTTGGGCCGTTCCCTTTGGCCATTTTGTACGGTTCGGTGCACGGCCTGCTCGTTTTTATTATGGCATGAAGCCCGCAGTTGTCGGAGTAACCCAGGACGCCTGGTTCTAGTAGAAACTTTATTAGATTTGCTACTGAAGATGGCTGACGATGTGCTTGAGACACCACCTGACTCGACGTCACCTAAAGGGCCGCGCTTCCGCAACCCCGGATGCGGCTCTTGGAATTGCACACCCCTGACACGCCGCATGTTTTACCATAGTGCTTTGCTTGCTTGACTTGCTCGCGCTAGCGTCCACGGAGATTGAATGAATAAAAGTAAAAGCCGACGCGCATTGTAGCATGCCGCGGCGCATGTGGCCCTCTGGCCCTCGCTACGCGATTTTGACACACGCGAGGTCCTCTCCTAGCACGCGTCGTCGTCCTGAACGGGGGAGGAGGACGGATTCACCTTGTGCTGCATGGAGTTCAGGCACGACGGCAGTCGCGGCGTGCATTCGCTCCCATACACGCCCGTGTATATGTGTATGTATGTATGTATGTGTATGTACATGTGTGTGTGTCTTCGTGCTTTTGAAAACATGAGGCATGTCGGCAGGGGCGGGCATCCTAATGAATTCATCCCGTGGACCGACAGACGGCCTTGTTTCACATCGACTGCATCATTGGCTGCGCGAACCCGACCGGTACGGTGCACCCACGGGAGCGAGGGTGGGCCGTGAAACAGGATTGATTTACCGAACCGTGCAGTAGGGAGGGCCAGTTCGCCCGGAGTCGCGTCCGCTGACGCCAGCCGTTAATTGTACAGCTGACGAGGTCGTAGCGCTTAGGGTGCGGCCGCTGATTTTGGATTTCTGACGTGCCGTTACCGCATACGTGCTGTCATAGAAAGACGGCGCCTCTGCGTCCAGCGTTCGGGGGTTGCAGTTTGCAGGTGATATCAATCTGTGTAATGGAGGTCGCGCTGATGGTGTTGTTTTTGTCGGTGGCGTGGCATCAACAATTGTTGGCTAGTTGTGCAGGATGACACCTGCATGTTCTCCAGCATGTGTTGTGCATGTTGACTGTGTGCCATTGGAACCTCTTGGTTTGTTAAGATGGGACCGCTATTTACTCATACAAGCAGCGGATGTAACACCACACACACACACACACACATGTACAATTGTAATTGCGTGTTGATGTGGACGAGCTCTAGCCTTGGAGGTCTGGTCTTGCCCGGGACTCCGCATGCGCTGGGGCCCCATCACCGCTCTGGCCATTATCGTGCCTTTGCTGCTGCGTCTCTTCTCTCTGGGCGACTGGGTGCCTCGCTGGGGGTCCCCGCGTACGAGCCTTAGACGGAGAGCACGAATCTGTCGAACCGTAATGCTATAGCAGGTCCCTAGGAAACGTGCCAGTAGCCGCGCCAGGTCCTGGGTCAGGCCCGCAAGATATGGACCCATAAAACGTCCCAGCTCGCAAGGAGGCGCATTCAGTGCGCGTGCTCGGTATAGCTCCGCGGTGATGCGTGCCCTGTGTATCAACAACAGTCAACAAGTTCGCGAAGTTCGCGAAGGTTTGCGGGTCCACACCAGGCATTAAATGCATAACTTGGATCACTAGAGGATATTTTACCTGTAAAGCGGGCAGATCATGGGAGTGGAAGTTGGAATTTTGGATCGTTGGATTGCCTAAAACCGGTTGAGGAGTTAAGTCCGCTAAGGTCCATTGCGGTTATGGCGAACAATTTACGACATAAATCCTATGTCCTGGGACAGTGCGAATGCGAAACCTGTACAGCTGATGGGGTAATGATTTGGTTAGTCTTGTGCAGAGATACGCAAGTTGTAACACCGGTACAGCGGTACGATTCGCTGTAACGGACCGAACATGTCCACTCGCTATAATTTAATAATAATCACCAAAGCAACGGTCAACCCTGAACTGCAAGTTTCAATGAGAAAAGTAGGGAGGCCAACAGCTTCTTTTGCGAACGTACAGTACTACGTTTCGCAACGACAGAGAAACGTTCAAAAAGGGAAGTGAGTCCAGCCTGAACCTGACACAGGTCCAACTAATTTCGCTACGGTAATGGGACGCACTACGTAAATTTGCTAAGGGCTTAGTTACCTGGCACGCTTGTCAATGGGGCCGGCGTCTTTTCATGTCTCAAAGATGTCTCAACTCCTTCCAGCTCTGACCTCGTGGCAGCTGTATAGACATAAAGTGCAAACCTGAACTCCTTGAACCATCTGGGCGTCGTCGCAACGACCCCACTTCCAACCGTTGGGAACATAGAATGGTGGGGCGACTACGTCGCCTGTGGAAGCGGCTACAATGTCGGAGTGAGAGACATAACGAGGCTTCTCGTTCCACAAATGTAAATGCTTCCGCGTGGAGGGCCGCTTCTGGTTCAGGACTTCCGCAGACGCCTCCAAAACCTTGCCCAAGCACATTTGATCACGGCGTTACGAACTGCGCTTGCAACTCAGCAGCAGATATTGAATCTCAGGGTCTTATACCTTCAATGGGCGGAGAGGACCAAAACAACTTTTCGACACACGATAGTGGCCCCATGCAGGATGCGCCCCCGCTCGGCTCCAGCACCATGCGCGAGGTGCAACAGCTCAGACCCGTACAATTATCAGAGCAGCCACATGACTTAACCGTGAGGATGACCCTGCCGTTGCCCTCCATAACCGTGGATTCGCGATCGCGCCATCACAGCCCTCCGCACCGGGCAGCCAGCGCTCCGGCAAACGTCCACCACGGCATCCGGTTGTCTTCGTGTTGCGCCCCAGAGCCATCCATCACCAACGACCAGGTCAGCTCTTCATCCCTGGAATCGGGCCCGACCGTCGCCCTAATTGAAGAATGCGCAGTGGAATACGGCGTCCCTGGCTGGGAGCGCCTCCTCACTGCCCAAATTGCCGCGTGCTCCGGCATGTCAACGTCTCGCAGCCGCAGAGCTGCCCCTTACTGCAACGCAACTGTTCCCGGCGGCGGCGACGGCGGCGCTTCTTTACCTTTCTCTTCCACCGAAACTCGCCTGCCTTCCTCAGCTCAGGCCATCTTCCCATTCGGCGACGCCACGCCCACACCGCCACCTTCTGCTAACGCCGACAGCAATACACAAACCTTCTTCGTAGACAACTCCACGGTCCCAGGCTCATTTTCTCGCCCTGCCAGAACGCCTTGCAGCATGGCCGCCGCCGCCGCCACCACCGGCAGCATCCCCGCCATGCCCCCGCTATCCAACCTTGTAAAGCCTCCTCCTTCTCTTCCCGCGGCTCATTGCCGCAGCCGGCGGTCCTCATTCCGCCAAGTGGTCCTCCCGAAGGAATTAGTAAGCAAGGCAGCGGAGCAGGGCACCGACCTAAGGCTGGATTTGCGGCGGGATGTGGCGGTGGATTGCAGTCGGACGCTGGGGTGGGGGCAGTTCGGGGCAGTGTACCCGGGCACCTTTCGTGGCGAGCCCGTGGCCATAAAATCCGTCCGGCACCTGCTTCGCGACGGCTGCACTATCGACGACCTCGAAGTGTTTGTGCAGGTAATACGTGACAGTGCGCGTACGTGTAGGACAAGTGGGTCAAGTCTTCACCCCGCGGGCGCTACCCGGCAGGTCCTGACCTCCCCGGTTTTTCGGGGTACTCTAGTCATCGTCATTGTGAAACGCTCAGGTTACACCCCCACCATCGACATCCAACGGAGTCTGCCGGATCGCGGCGGCTTAAACTCATTCCTATTCAGATTGTAGGTCAACTTTGTCTGAGGCCACCGCCATCCACCGATTTGATTGATCATCATACCTTCTACTGTCGGAAGATTTGGACTGTAAAAGTCCCTTCTCCTGTCCATGTCTCACCGGCCCTGTCTGACCATGGTCGACTGACCAGATATTAGTCCATTTTGCCGCAGCCTGGGATTGAACCAGGGCCCTTTTGTTTACAAGACAAACGCTCTACCACTGAGCTACAACGGCTCTGTGAACTTTGATTACGTATAAAATATGATATATGCACCATCTACGCATACACATGCATCTTCGCCCTATGTACAACGTATGTATGTATGTACGTATGTATGTATGTATATGTTGGCTACATGCTGGTGTACATCAGCAAAGGCCTTCACGTAAAGGAAACCCGGAGGTACACAGTTGGCTGCATAAACGAATTCGTACACGCCACCTTTCCTCCCCCGTACGATCCATCCGTCATCCAGCTCTCTCCACCCTGTCTGCTCAGGAAATCACGGTGCTCAGCAGCCTGCATCACGACAACGTGGTGCGGCTCCTGGGCGGCTGCCTGCAACCTCCCGACATTTGCCTCGTGGAGGAGCTGTGCGTCACCTCCCTGGACTTGGTGCTGCACAGCGGGGTGAGACAACTCGCCGCCAAGGACCCGGGGGGCCCCCATGACGTGCCGGCTACAGCGCCACAGCCACAGCCAGTCGTAGGTACCGAAGCGCCGTCGCCGCCAGCTCCGCCGTCGCACCAGTATCGCCACCCGCAGGCAAAGTCTCCGCTGCCGCTGTTTCGCATCTTGGAGATTGCGCTGAATGTTGCATTAGGGCTGGAGTACCTGCACAGCCGCACGCCAGCTGTCGTGCACCGGGACTTGAAGCCCGCCAACATTTTGTTGGACAAGAACGGCCGCGCGAAGATCTCGGATTTTGGACTGGCTAGGTGCGGCTCGGCTGCGGGGGCCCCTGGGTTGCCGGGGCCGCTCTTTATGCCCTTTTGCATTGCATCTTTGGCTATAGCCAGTACTACCTACCTTTGGAGCTACCCGGGGTAGTGGAGCTGTGCTGCACGCCCTGGTCCTGTCCTGCTGTTGCTGCTGCTACCCGGCTGGTGATGGTGCCGCTGCAATGGATTAAAGAAGAAGGAAGAAGAAAAAGAAGAAGGCCCGGGCTCGGCCCCATGCGCGGGTCCATGCGACGGCATCGACGTTGCGGCCAGATGCATAACTGATATTAAGCTGGGCTTTCAAAACCTTTTGTTTGACGCCGCGTGGTGAAAGTCGCGTGTGATTTTGCGGGTGCAGGTGCAAGTATTCGGCCTACCTAGATACCAACCGCCCCGAAACCGGCTCGATGGCGTACATGGCGCCAGGTATGGACAGAAGGACAGTTGATTTGCGGTTTCATGTATCTGGTTAGGAATCGGTCGGTCCGGGTGCTCCCTGGTGAATGTGGAGGCCGTGTGCTCTGCAGCCGTATATCTCCCACACTGACCCACATCCCGTCGGGCTGTAAGAGGGCCCATACCGTTGGGGGGCAACGAATAAAACGAACTTGACGAACTAACGGGTGAACGAAGAAACGAATCCACAACCAGGGGCTGAAGAAACCGCGCGGGAAATTGGCCATGGTCTGGGTCGCGTCTGGGTTCTGGCCTAGGAACCCAGAAGCGCCTGGAAGGCGATGCTAAGCGTTCCTCGAAGTGGGGGATTCCCGCCTTCGCCGCCACTCCGCCGTTTCCGCCGCCCTCCTCCTCCTCCTCCCCTCCTCCCCGCCCAGAGTGCTGGGACCCGCATCTGGATGGAGGTCTCAGTGATAAGATGGACATCTTCAGCTTTGGCGTAGTCCTATGGGAGCTGGTGGTTGGTGAGCGGCCTTGGGCAGGCTGCAAAATGAGCGAGTTCGTGCACAAGGTGCGTGCGAAATGCGGGGGAGAGGGAGGAGAGAGGGGCGAAGACCAAGACCGGCATAACGGGCGTTACAAACACTACTAGGACAGACTCCCGCATGCAGTGTTGTGAGGCGCATTTCGGGGCGGTCGTATAACAGTAGAGAGGTCGTTTGTCTGTCTGTTTGTCTGTCTATTTGTCTGTCTGTCTATCTGTCTGTGTATGTTCGCAGCAAGCAGGGGTATAGGGTCGCGTTCTTGTTGCTGTCATCTCTGGCGGGAACGTCGCCAACTTCCTTTGTCAAGTCGCGCGTCGGCTTTGGTTTGCTTGCCCGCCCCGTCCCGGGCCATCACCAATCAATAAGGAGCATCGGGGAAATCGGGCTGATGCCCCGGTTGTTCCGTGCCCCGTGCCGTCATGTCATGCGGGTCGCAGGTAGTGACCCAGGGCGCCCGTCTGGAGGTACCCACAGATGACAATGTGTGCCCCTACGCGCTCCGCCGCCTCATCTCCTCGTGTACCGAGAGACACCCCTCGGAGCGGCCCACCATCCGCCACATCACCAGTGAGCTACGCCGCATGCTCCAGTACTGCCGCCGCTAGCTAGCTAGCTGGAGTGGGTCGGTCGGATGGGGCACGGGTTGAGTACCTGGTAGGATAGGATCTGCAGAGCTTTACGTTATCAAGGCCTCGGATCGTGCTGCATAAAACACGTCGGATATCATGTCGTCGGATTACGATGCCGGCGAGGGTTCTAGTACCTTGATGTGAAGCGCTGATGAATGTAAAATCGTGATTGGGTTCTCGTTCGGATCCTAATTTGGACCATGATTAGCATTCGACGGAGGACCCAGGCCGACATCGGCCTGAAAGGTCACATCTGCTAACTCTGCCAGACGTGCTGTGCCTGAGTCAAGCCGTGACCGCAGCTGGGGCCCGGAGGCAGTGGTGGTGGCAGTGGTGGTGGTGGTCCGTCAAAGCCAACGTCTTGCTGTCTGGCAAGATTGCGTGTGAGCGGTCGTCGCATGCTCCTGCGGATAGCGTAAATAGCAGGATCTTATCGGTGCATGTATGGGGACACAGCTGGTTGTGGCGGCGGGTGTTGAGCGACGCGCAGCCGCGGACCTCAGGGGGGGGAGGAGCAGGGGGGAGGAGCAGGGGAGGAGGAGCGGGGGGAGGAGAGGACGTGCACGGAGGGCTTAGGCCGGGGAGTTGTAAGGGGGCAGCATGGTCAACGGATGTATATATGTATGTGTATATGTATATGAAGCGGACATATATGATATATATTATATAATATATGTATTACATAATATATAATACATGCAGCGGAGAGCTATGTGAACCATGATCAAGTAGGGAAGGTGCGAGGTGCTCCTCAAGCACACGTCGGGATGCCCGAGCGACGCGACGCAAATCAACGCAATACAAGCATACGTAATACATAATGTGTGCCATACCAACCCCCTCGCCCAGCTGGACGGATGGATGGGATGTATAATATAACTTGGAGTGGCTTACAAGTGGCATTCTGACAGTGAACTTGATGCCGAAGAAATTAAGGGTCGCACGACATGATGATATGCGTGTGTGTTTGTGAGGCTGTACTCTGCATGGGTCGCATGATGAGGGATGATGAGTTGCATAGAGGGATGTGTATGTACGTATGTATGTGCGTATGTATGTATGTGCGTATGTATGTATGTATGTATGTATGTATGTATGTATGTATGTATGTATGTATCTATGTATGTGCGTATGTATGTACGTATGTTCATGTGTGTGTCCCCAGCTCGGGAGGTTGATGTCAGGTGTGATGGTAGTTACCCGCCCGAGTGTTCTCTTGGTCGGAATAAGGTAGGACTGGATAAGGGGGAAACGGGTGCAAGGTTGTACGGCATATGAGAAGACGTTTTCCGTACTTGTTGGACGAGTAGGTAGCACTGCCAATGCTGACGCTAGGGCGAAGAGCGGAAGACGTATTTTAATTTTTGCTTTCTGGTCGCGTTCGGGATGTGAGGAAATAATAACGGAGTGGGGGCTGCTGATTGAGGTCTATGTATGCCTGGTCGTGCACGTGATTTTCCCTTAGTAGCGTGTGCGCATATGTGTACATATATGTTTGTGTGTATATATGTCGCGCGTGACTTGCACATATCCTGACCAGGATGCGTGGGACTTGGGGTTTGCGAGGGTCTAGTAGTGTGTGGAGGGAGAGAGAAGCAGTTCAGTTTTCAGTTATATTCAGAAGGACGGATTTAATGGATTGGGATATTGTTTTGAACTACTAAGGTTTTGCGTTAAGGGTTATACTCAACCCGGAAGGGTATACCTGCTCCCTTCAGGGCTGGACCTCTGCCCGGTTATGCATTAGCGTCATGCCTGCTGCACGTCATGTATTTTAGAGGGCAAAGGGTATTTGTCATAGACTGTCGTACAGGGCCGCTGTGCAAGGTGACAATTATTAGCGAAGGTCACAGCTCAAAAAAAGGACCCACCGCACTCACTCACATGTAAAACGACGACGCAGCCTGCTGGCTGAGGGTTTGGGGTCGCTCATCTCTTGGGGACATTGTCCACGTAATGCATCGCTCCTCAAACGTTGTAAGAATTAAAATAAGGAATCATGTGACCTCCGCAGTCTTACATACCCCTCCGTCGTCCAGAATCCGCTTTCTCGCTTACTGCATGTGTGCCGTACAAAGCTCCGTACAATGATGCCGCTAGGGATTTACGATGGTGATGCCACAGATGTGATGTCCGGGAGGGTGCTTCCCTTTGTTTCTGCATTTGATTGCTGGCGCTGACAGCGCGGGGAGGTAAGATACGTGACGGATGACTTTGGGAGCTCGTTGCCCCGTGCTTTGGTGGCGCAGTGTTGCGCGGACTCGCTTTGGGCAAATTTTGTGCGGGTGTCGGGGGGAGCAAGGCTTGCATGTGCTCGTCACGGAATTGTCACGTTAGCTTTTGGGAAGGGGTCTTTTGGGGTGATCCCGCTTGCGACTGCTGGGTACGTGCGGTATGTGAACCTTTTCCAAGATCTTTGGTTGGTCAGTATACATGTTGGATTGGGGTCGGGGGGTCGCGTTACGGTGTGGAATTTTGTGGCCGGCAACGCGCAAATACTGAGACGTGTAGAGAATATGTGTAACTCGGGAGTCTGGTTCGCCTAGATGCCCCAAGTGCCGATTTTGCTCTACACCCCTGCATCTTTTGATGAGAGCTCCATTATGGATCCAGGGTACCCAGGACGTAATATTGATGATAATCACATTTCATATAACATGCCGTAAGTTTTGTGTCTCTGCGCATAACGAGTAAGCGGTTGGTACGACGCACTGCAGTAGCGTTCAGTTCGCAGGATGAGAACCTACTGGCTTGCGGAGGACGGAGGTCCAGTGAAAAGCTTACAAGCGCACCATTGCGCGATTGCGCAGGCAAGGTTTGTGAGAGTGGGACTAAACTCCATTTGTCCAACAGCGGTGGATGGCGTTCCGAGATGTTTTACATCGCGGGAATTGTCAAATTCTGACAAAAATATGATACTATAGCTCAATGCATCCTTGTGCATCAAACTTCTCCACTTTGAACTAGACCTCAGGTCTAGACCAGGCTGGTCTCTATACAATTGTGGATGTCAAGTCCATACAACGACAGAGTTATCAAACGATTAAATTTTGGTTCAGATGTTGCAAACCCTCATTCATTGGTAGCAGCGCAGCTGGGGCCTCGGTCCCGCCTGCCGCCTACAGCAACCCGGTCCCCAGGTGCAGCCACAGCACACAGAGTTATAAGCACTGGCGTTGTCCGTTATGGCTTACCAGAAGGTAATCCACGGCCCCAGCTCTACGGCTTCGGCATGCACTGTGCAATTATCGGCAATTACCCGCAGATGAGCTCCCCGCCAAGGAGCGATGCAGCGGCACTCGATCCGTATCCTATCGGGTGCCCAGCGACGACGAAAGCGACAGTGAACCTGAAGTGACCAGCGCAGCCCACGCGGACACGTTGAGCAAACCCGATGCTGTTGAGGAGCAGAGGCAACTCCTACAGCAACAGCTGCTGGCGTCTCTCGAGGCAAGTGCTTGGTTGCCCTAGTATGCCATGAGGCATCCTCCATCGCCTCAGAATCATAAAAAAACCCCTCCTCCTCCACTTCGGGCTGTTGGGTCGCTGCGCAGACCATCCAGCGTAGCAAGCAGGCGTCATGGCGTTCCCGCCTGGCGGAGGTCGAGGTGCAGTTGGCCGCGCAGTTCAGCTCGCTAGCTTCGTCTGCGCGCCGCAAGAAGGTCAGTCAGTACGCGCTCGAGATGTGGGGGCTACAGACGGGAGAATCCTAACGAGTGACGAGTGTGCACCGATGCTATATACAAACACACACACATCAGGCGGGATTTCTGAAAGAGGGAGAGGGAGAGGGAGAGGGGGACAGATAGGGGGGCGGGGAGGGAGGCGGTTGCAGGCATGCAGCTCCTGCCCGTCTGTCCCTGTGCCGGCATTCCTTCACAGATCCAATCGCACGTGATATCCGCCTACACGCCCACCTCCCGCGCAATAGCACGCCCATGCTGCGGGCCTTCGCACCAGCCGGCCACAAGCCGTTCGCCACAAGCCAACTTCTTCCACCCTGCGACTGTGCATTTACATTCTCTCGTGTCCCATACGGCCATACCGCGGTAGGAATTACACAGCCCCCCCAGGTGGTGAAATCCAACTGCAAACCTCCCAAATCTTGTTGCCCATTTCCTCCGAAACCTGCCAACCACCGTTACCGTTAGAACGACCTAGAACGCGAGGACCAGGAGCTCCTGCTGCGGCAGCGGCAGAAGCGCAATGAGGTGTTGGAGAGGGTGCAGTCAACTCACCGTACTGAGGCCACCCTACAAGAGCAGCAGGTGCGCAACAACAGCAGCACAAGGACAGCGGTAACCCAAAAATACAGCAGTGACAGGATCTGCCTGTTGGCAGCCGGCTGGAACACCAACTTGATTTTTGCATGTGGCATGTGAAACCCCCTGCCGAGGAGTCCGTCTGCGCGGCTAAGATGTGCGTGGCTTCTCATCACCTGTTGAGGGGTTGTCCTAGCTCCTCCGCCGTTCACCCCTTCTTCTCTCCTCCACCAAGGCGAAACGGAACCGGGCATCTATCTGGCAGTGGAACACGGTCATGCGGCCTGCCTCCCGTACGTGTTCGTCTGTCCGTCTGTCTGTCCATGTTGCATGCCGTCCGTGTTTTTGTGGCGTCCTCAGGGCGCCAGGGACCCGGGGATGAGCTGAGTACGGGGTCCCCCTTGTGCTCTTCGTCTTTCCCCCCTTGTGCTCTTCGTCTCATTCCCGCAATATCAACAGGTGAAGCGTTTCGTGGAGCAGCGTGAGGAGGAGCGGCGAAGGGAGGAGGAGCGGCGGCGAAGAGAGGAGGAGGAGCGGCAAAGGGAGCAGGAACGACTCGAGGCCGAGCGTGAGCGGAGGCGCAAGGAGGAGGAGGAGACAGAGCGGAAGCGCAAGGAGGTGCGTCTTGGGGTTTCCCGCGGGGTAAGAGGGGGTTTCCCTGGCCCCCTATTGCCTCAATACATGGCCTCTTAGCAGCTTTGAATTCTCCCTTCTTTCCCCCCCCTCCAAACACACACACCACGCACCGCACAAATACACACACGTTATTGCGGCCGGGTGTTACGGCCGGAGGTAGCTGACTGGGTATTTATGCAGCAGCCCGTGTTACGAAACCCTGGAAGCAGAAGAACAATGAATGTGTGGGGTAGCTGCTGACATTGGCTTCTAATGAAACTCAGGGACTGTTACAGCAGCCATCAGCTTCAGTGCAGGAGGAAGTCCGTAGCAGCACAGCACTACCGGGCTAGCACCTCTGGGCCTAGTGGGTTACAACCACCGCCATTACCACAACACCAACACCAACAACGACCACTAGAAGGGTAGATCGGCCATTTTGTTGTGAGCCATTCGTTGCAGCGAGAAAGATATATTCGGAGCTTAAATGCTTGGGGAGGGACCAGGTGCCCCTCCCCCGCCCTCCTTCGCGTGGGGCGTGGGGCGTAGTTGTGCGCGCTGTCCGCACACCACCGGGTCTTCCCCCACCCCGCAAGGCATCGCCAGTCGGACGTCGTCAGTCGTTTTCCGTGGTGCCTTTCCGCTTGCAAGCGAATCCTCATCGCAAGACGACGCTGTCACACCGTCGACTCTCCAAGCCTTCTTGCAGAGCACGTAGCCCTCAGTAGCTCACTCGGACCGCAGCCCTTAGATCAGTAGGCAGCGCCCGAGTCCGTGCGGTGGAGCGCCCGTGTAGTTAAGAGATGCGTGCAGGGGAGCCGCAGTGAGGCAGCGCGAGCGCGACATGGAGGTTGGGCATGTGCGGCTCGATGATGCGCCCCTCTGATACTCGCATTGGTAATATTGTCCCTATGAGGCCAAACACACGGTCCAGTTCAAATGCAGGTGGTATCCCTAGGTAACCCTGCCTACTAACTCGCCACATTGGTGGCCCCCCGTGTGTGTATGTATGTGTCGATGTCGTTGTGTGGTGCGTCGTCCCTCTGTTAGCGGAAACGGAGAGGGAAATGCGCTGTGTGTGTATGTATGTACGGCACATCGGCCTCAGGCTTTCGCGCCATTGCCGAACAGCAATCGTAACAGCAATGGTAACATTGTGGTGTTACCGCAGGACGACGAGCAACGGAAGCGGCGGGAAGCGGAGGCGGAGAAGCAGCGGAAGCTGGCAGAGGAGGACCGGAAGAAGAAGGAAAAGGAAGCTGCCGCAGCTGCAAAGGCCCAGAGCCACGGCGCAGGGCATCCGTGTCTTCGGGTCTCCCCCGCTGCGCAGCAGCAGGCAGCTGACCTGGCCGCCCGGCTGGCGGCCGTCGAGTCGGCTGTGCGGCCCCTGCAGTCGGACGAGTCCAGCAAGAAACAGCGCCGCGACATTGAGAAGAAGCTCACGGTGCATGTGCAGCAGATCTGCGGTACTCAGAGTCAGGTGCGGTAGGGGGTCTGGAGCGGCTGAGGGGGAAGGACCTGGTGGGGAGGTATGGGCATGTCTGCCTTGATCCTAGTTTGGCAACTGCACAAACGGCATCATGTCGCGTTCCCCCTCGTCAGTGTGACCCTCCGGACCCAGCCAACCACCCCCGGGGGCCCCGCACACGCTCCCTTGTACCTAGCCGCCATTAGTCGCTACTGCTGCCACTACCGCCACCACCATCACCATCACAACCACTACTACACCACTACCACAACCACCATCACCACCACTACTACACCACTACCACAACCACCATCACCATCACCACCACTACTACACCACTACAACAACCACCAGGATGGACGGCAGCGGGGTGCAATGTCGGCAACATTTACTTAGCCTGCCCGCCCGCCCGCGGCGCTCCCCATCGTGTTCCCCTTTACCTCCCTCGCACTCTCCCTATCCAGGCTTCCAAACTGCGGAGTTGTGCGACCATCTATCGGAAGCGTATTGCTTCGTACAGTTATCTTATATTCCCCCCCTCCCCTCTCCTCTCTCCCTCTTCCCTGACTTCCGACCGGCCTGTAGGTCCAGACCAAGTGCCAGGACGTGTACAACCAGCTGAGCGCCCTGCAGGGCACCTGGCGCTCCTTTGCGGTCCTGACGCTCTGCAACAAAATCGTCAAGCAGTACGAGCTCGTACAGGTACGTGTGTGTGCGTGAGCTGGGGGCTGGGAGGGATGAGGAAAAACGAATGGGTGGGGCGGGGGCGGGAGCTGCTGCGGAGCGGACGCAGGCCTGGGGGAGGGGCCGGGGGGAAGAGGGAGGAGGAGAGGCGGACATGCCGTCTGCAGCCGGCGTGAGGGACAGGGCCAATCCAGCCCGCCAGGCCTGGGGACGAGCACACGTCCGCTGCGGGGTACAGTGGTGGGGAAGTCTGTGCAGAGCTCTATAAGTGGGTGGGAGGAAAGTAAACTTCACACCCCCCACTCATTCGGCCGGCGGCTTTTCCTGGTGTCCTTGTGTATGTATGTGTGTGTTTCTGTGTGCCTCGGACACGTACTTTGCTACCTTGAGGCAGTAAGGGTTTGGCTTTGAATGCGTCGATCCTCTCCTCCATCCATTTCCCTTCGCCCTGCCTTATGAAGCCCCCGCCTTCTGGACCGCCCGCCGTCCCGCTGCCGTCGCCCTCTTTGCCGCCTTCGTGCAGCTGAACCACAAGGCCGCGTTCCCGCTGGCCCTGGTGATTGTCAAGGTGTCGCAAGTGGTCCCGGAGCTGCTTGAGCTGCTGCTCGCGCTCATCCAGAAGGCATGTCCGCTCGCCGTCCCCATGTCGTACGTGCACGACACCAACAAGATCAGCAACAACTCGTACTACAGGTGGGCGTGTGTTTTAGGGGAAAAGATGGAAGGGGGTGGGGTATGACGGGGGTAACGGAGGTCAAGTGCAGGTGATGGTGGGATCGTCTGGACCAGTGGTGGCGGTATTTGCAGTCGGCACGCGCTTGTGTGGGCTTTTGCCGTTTGCCGGGGCTCCCTGGGTGGTGGGGGTTAGGGGGCTGAGAAGCGCCCTTGGAGAGGCAGGTGCTGGGCTCGGACTGGCCTTGAGTGGTAAGGTTTTGCTTTTGCAGTGCGTCGCGTCCAAAAGTCTATATGTATGTGTGTATGTATGTGTGTATGTGCGAGTGTAAATGTATCCAGAGCCCATCCTTGCTGTCCAACGCATCCCAGCGGATCCGAATCCTGTGGACCTCTTGGAAAGATTAGGACTATGCCTACTGTTCTGCCGTGACACATGCGACTTCTGTTCAGTCCCCCGATCCCATCAATGTGGATGTTTTGTGTATAAATGTTTTTTTGTATGTATGTGTGTATGTATGTATGTGCGCCCAAAAGGGGGATGCGGTTTGAGGAGCAGGACGATCCTTCCACGCCGTCCGGCAAGGTGTTTGAGAGCACCGAAGAGTACACGCGGCGACTAGAGGGCCTTATGCTGCTGTACGGCGCCATCATGCAGGTACGGCAGCGGGTGTCCTGATGTTTGCATGTGCAGCTCAGTGGGCGATGGTGTGCTATGGTAATGGGCTTTTGGCAAGAACCTCGCAGCAAGGGAAAAAGGTAGTTGCTGCAGCCGCAGCAGCCTCAGGCCGGTGGCGGATGGCCGTGTGAGTGCGGAAGCGCATTGCTGTCTCTGCAAAGGCGTCTAGCCAGCCAAGCAGCAGCGGCAGCAGCAGCAGTTGTAGCAGCAGTACAGGCACCTGGCTAGGCTAGCCTGGGTAGCAGGTCCCCCAGGGTGCTGCCGCGAAGGACTTGGATCTTAAATTGGTTTGCTTGCGGCTAATGGAAAACGAAATCTGGAAAGAAATGTCCCAATTGACGATGTGACCAGTCATTGCGAACGCATCGGACGAAATTGCGCCTTGAGGATACCGGTATTTGTCCGATGTGTTTTTAAAAACAATTTCCCTCCTGCTTTTTTCCCGCTCTTTCAGGTGGACGATCCAAACCGTCACGGGATACATCATGCATGGTCGTACATGGCCCGGGCTCTTAACCACCTGCCGCCCGACCGCTACACTGCTAAGGCGCTGATCTCGGTACTGCGAGCCGCGGGCTACTCGATGCACGTGCGGTAAGGGCGTGTGGGGGAAGTCATATGCGAGAAAGTGGGAAGTGGACTACCGGTGGAGGGAAGGGCGTGTGGGGGAAAGAACCTGGAGAGGAGATTAGTGGCCGGGCGGTGACGTAGAGCTGTGGTGGTTTCGGAGCCTTGCGGGAAGAGGAAAAGAGGGAGGGGAGAAAGGAGGAGAATGGCCGCGGGCTGTATGGCGACAGGAGGTGAACACTCAAGGCCAGGGGCCTGCTTTACCTTCCCCCCCATACCCCCCATCCCTCCAAGACTGACAGCTCTTGTCGCCCTTGCTCCCTTGTCTCTGTGGCTGTTCAATGTGCTCATAGCCACAATATGTCATTAATCCCTCCCCCATTTTAGATGGCCCCCGTTATTATGTACTACCGCCATCACCGCCAGAAGAACCTCTGCGGCTGCTGTTGTTGCTGACTGATGTTTTGCCGCTATCAGGTTTCGGGGTCAGTTTGTCAAGCTGTTGTCGGCGCTCCAGCGCGAGTTCTTACCTGCGCTGCGCAAGGCTGCGGGTGACGACATCAGCGCACTGGCCGCGCTACTGGACAGCTACGTGAGCGACGGGCTGTATCGAAACCCGCCGGAGGGACGCAACTTGCCTGCATTCGACATATCGTCCTTGGCCGAAAACCGCGCATGATGGATGTACGGATGTACGGCGGGGGAGAGGCAATGTGGCGGGAGGCTGGGGGGTATAGGGAAAGGGGGGATGGGTTGCAGGGGAAGTTATTAGAGGTGATTCGTCGGGGCGCAGCGTGTCTGTGTGCCTGTCGCCATCCCGGATGGGGCTAGAGGACCCGGCGTCTGGCTGTGGAGGGGCATGGTAAAATGGGGGGCTAGCCTTGACTTCGCTACCTGGGGTTTGCGGGGTGCTAGGTCCGACGGGGCCGCCTGCTCCTCTTATCGCGTGCCGTCCCAAATGTTTGGCCCGGGGATGGCAGTGTCGATAAAGTGGACGTTCGCCAATATTTTTTCGACCCCAAAGTATGGCTGACTTGACGCCCGGCTGATGCGAACCAGCCGACTCACGGGGTGAGGACGTTGTGTGTACTTGCGTATGCAACTTGGACATGCAAAGGGACACGGGCCATGGATTATGAGCCATGGATTAGACTCAACTGGAGTGGATTAGGATTGAGTGCACAACCCAATGCACCTGGCATGGCTCAATGGCCGTCCCGTGGGTCACATTTCGTGACGCTAACAACCACTATTAACAACAAAATTAAAGGATAACACGAACTTAAGTTGTGATATTGGCGATGCACGTCGTGAGGCTGAGGCCGGCTTGTGAAATGCAGCACTGTTGCATTCTTGTATTGACCGTCAACAACCGTAAAGTTCTCGTTCACAGCTTACGCTGATGCACCATGTGGTCGTTCCTGAACCTCTGCGATGGCCACGGAAGAATGCGAGATTCCAAGTGGCCAGCATTATTCATTTTGGCCGTGCGTCCCACCTTGGTTGTAACGCACTCCCGTAGGAGCTAAGTTCATCATGTAAGGTGCTGAGGAGCAGGATGCTGTGAAGAAGTCAATATGTATCTGCTTATGTCCGCTTATGTCCACTTTCGGTGCTGGCCGCCGCAACTGCAAGAAGAGCTAGGCGGGATTTAGATACAGATTCAGCTCATAGATTTGAGGTAAACATGGAAGCTGCAGAGCGGGAGGAAGCCGTAGCGAACGCGCCCAGGCCCGTTCAATGATTTTAATTCGCATCGCATCACCGTAGCAGGATTAGAGTTTATATTCCATGTAGCAACGAGTGCCACCTTATTAACTTATGCTGAGAATTACGCTTATGAGTTTTTCGCTTATCAGGATGCACAGAATGAAACCAAGTTCAGATGTTCGTCAATCGTCATCAGTAAAATGATGAAACATCTCGGGACTACTTGAAACTTTCTAACTAATAATTAATTATCTCATTTTTATAAATAGCGCATCTTAAGTTTACTTCTACACCTAACTGTCTGCACTCGGAACGGCTTCACTTTTTTCCAAGGGTGTCAACAAAGCCGCAGCATGGATACAGCATAGGAGTTTTCCACGTAAACTGTTCTGAAGGGAACAGACATATGATGCATAAGGGCTTTCTTGTAGTCTGCTGCTGTTCGCTCTAGGAGCGATGAGCGAAGCTTATGAGGAGCGTAGCCCAAAGCGGGCAAGGACAGAGGATGTATTGGGGGCAGCTGCAACTCCTCAACCCGGCGGGGAGCCTCCTAGGGTAAGTGGCGGTGATGCGTCATGCGCGTTTGTGCAGCTTGACTCAGCGATGTTTGCATATGTTCTTCCTGAGTGCATGCATAATGTTTGCATGCATGTTGTTGTTGCCAGAGAGGAGCTATCTGCGCTCCGCCCAACGGGTTGCTCTCATACCACCTTTCCGAACCCCGCACCGCCTTCCGTTTGAGACGTCCTTGGGACGCCCCTGCTTCTCTCTGGCACGGCACACGGCCTCAGCAGAAGACCCGCTAAATACCTCTTAGGCTTACACCTCCATCATCATTCAAACGTGCACACACACCTGCAGAAGGTGTGGTTCCCGAGCTCTGCCAGAACGCGCTATGCCGGGCCCTCCCAAGAACCCTCTCCCCCTATGGCCGCTCCTCCCTCCTATACTCGCAAATATCGCTCCCATCAAGCCACAAAACTCACCTCACCCACCCAGTCGTGTCCGGGCCCGCCTATGCCCGCCACCGCTTCCTTTTCCTTACTGACCCGCGAAAAAAAACCCTCCCGGAAACATCCAATCACTCCCATCGAGCTAGATCTTCTCCCCCCCCCAAAAAAAACACACACCGCACCCTCCCTTCCCATCTGGGTCGCGTGCGATTATATACTTTCTGCGCATCTGTTACAACCAAACAATCTCCTCGTTGCGGATCCGTTTTACCTTCCTCTTCTCCTTTTCCCTCTCGCACGTATTTGTCCCTCTTTTACCTCCGCCGCCGCCGCCGCCTGCCTGCCTTCCCCCCTTTCCTCATATGTCGGCCCTTTCGCTCAGGTCCCCTGGCTGCTTGTGGAGCGGCAAGCAGTCCGCCAGGCCTTCATCATGTTTGGCGTGGGCCGCTGGCGCGAGGTGAACGTGACTGCGTACCGGAGTGGGGCGGAGGGGCAACACGCAGAGGGGCAGCATTTCAGCATTTCGCCAGATAGCGGACATGTGAATGACCTGGGGGCCAGGAAGTCGGGGCGAGGGGGTTCGGCGGAGGTTTAAGGAGTAAGGTTGGGGGAATGGGGGCCTTTTAAAAGCTCGGGAAGGATCGGGAGAGGGCGTAGGGTGTGGAGGGGGAGGGGGAGGGGATAACAAAGGCTTCTCAACTGAGAAGTGATTGGCACGTGGGGTAGGGCCGTACGTCTGTACGACCGTACGTTTTTTACCGCTCTGCGAAACGCAATCCGTCAACCGCAGCCTTCCATACGTGTAACTCAGCGCCTGCCATGTGTCCCGGATTGCTACCCGGCTCGGTCGTATTCCCTTTCCTGGTTCCCTCGCGCAGATTCATGTTAATTTTTGTCGGCTGAGCAAGTCCAAGCACGTCCGCAGCGTCGGTGAGGTGGAGCGGGCGGTGTGGCACCTGCTGCAGGCGCTGAGGGCACATGCGGCCGAGCCGGCGGATGCGGCCTTCCTGGACTCGCTGCTACAGCCGGTGGCGCATCTGGGGGACCTCACTACTGCCGGGCAGCCATGGCCCAAGGTGGGCCGGGGCCGGCGGGACTGGGGGCCTTGTGCGGGGTGAGGGGTGAGGGCCGGCGGGTGTGTTGTGTGGGTGTTGTGTGGTAGGGCAGTTGGAGGAAGAAGAAAGTTGAAGAAGGTGAAGAAGGTGAAGCGGTGAGGTAAGAGCTTAGCATGCAGGGCTTCCCCATTTCCCGCCCGCCCGCCCGCCCGTCTCCGCCCGCCCGCCCGTCTCCCCCCCCCACCCCCCGACGATGGTCCCCGTCGCTGTTGCCACTGCTGCCACTGCTGTCCGTGTTCGGGCAGGTGGACAAGGGCAGCCGGTGGCTGCTGGGGCGACTGCGCAATCTGACGGAGTTCAACAATGCAATGACGGCGGCGCAGCAGCAGCACGAGGTCTGTATGTGTGCGTTGGTGTGTGTTGGTGTGGTGGGAGGGGTAAAGGAGGGAAAGGAGGGAAAGGTGCAGTACAGCAGCAACCCTCAGGGGAAGCGGAAGCACCTGCTGGCACTGGGTTGTGACATGTTGTCCGGGGGGCCAGCAGACACACACACAGACACACAGACACACAATCTGATGCGGATGTGCAGGTGTTGTCTAGGTTCCGTCAGCTGCTGGCCGCCATGTCGGACCGGTCACCCCCCGCCGCCTGGTGGAATGCCGAGTGTGATTTGGCGCTGCTCAAGGGGATGTACCGCGCGGGGTACGGCGAGTACGACGCCGTTTTCTCTGACCCGGACTTCTTACCCATCTTCAAGGGCGCGAGGGTGAGAGTTGGGCTGGGTTGGGAGTTGGGCATAAGAGGGGGGGTGAGGACGGGTTTTTGCCAGCCGCAGAAAAAGCCGCTTGGACAGGTGGTTTTAGACCTGAGGGGTGCGTGGAAAGGGGTGGTGATTGCGTTCATGGGATTTACAGGAGATAGACACGGGGGTTGGGGTCTCCGTGTTTTACTTGTGCCTTGTGTCTTGTGTGTGGGGGGGAGGGGATAGATGCATGCGTACGGTGGGCCTTGAAGGGACTCGGAATTGGATTATGTATAAAAATAAAAAAACGTTTTGGCCCGAACGGTCCTTTCAGCCTTACGCCCCCACACGGCCCCTACCTTGCTGTTCAGTAATGTGGGGGACCTATTCTCAGCCCCCGGAAGTCCACTCCCTAGAGTCACTGGGTGCCCAATCCCGCTAGGTCGCGATACCCACGATACCCACGATCGGATATTCCTTTGGCGATTACCTTCTATAATAGGAAGCGCAGCAAGCCCGGATGCGTGAGCTGGCGCTGGCGACCGGCACGGCGGCGGCGACGTCGACGGCGGCGGCGGCGGTCTGCGATACAACTTGCAAGGATGGAGCCGCGGCGGGCGAGGGGGTGGCTTCGGGCAGCGGCGGCGGCGGCGGAAGAGAAGAGACGACGGCGGTAGCGGCTGCTGGCAGTGCCGCTCCCGACAACAGTCCCTCTGGCGCCGGTGCCGCCGCTGAGGCCGCGGCGCCGCCGTCGTACATCTGGCCTGATGGGCAGATCCTGACGCCACGTGTTCGACGTCTGTGCGATCTGTTGATCCGGGCGGTGAGGCAAGTGGAAGCGGATTCGGCCGCGGCGGCGTCGGGCGGCGGCGGTGTCACTGGTAGCCCAGCGGAGGCAAAGACGCCATCACGGAAATCGCGGCAGGGCGCCGCCGCTGGCGGCGCCGCCGGGCTGACGGGTGCTGCGGCGGGCGCGCGGGGCAAGCCTGAGAAGGCGGAGGTCTGGTCAAAGAAGGACCGGCAGGAGGTGCTGGGACTCCTGATGCGGTTCGGAATGCCGCACGTTGCGGCTGCTGCGGCGGGGGCGGCGGCGGCGACGGAGGGATGCTCCCCTGAACCCGCCGCAGCGGCACCGAGCACCAGCCTCGGCGGCGGCGGGGTTGCGGGGAGCGGTGGTCATTCCGCGTCCGCAGCGGCGCTCGGTCACCTCGTGTCGCTGGCTCGAGAGCACTACCCTCGTCTGGCTGCTAAGAGCGCGGCGGGGATACAGCAGGTGGGGGTCGGGGAAAAGCGGGGGGGGGAAGTATTGGCGTCCGAGTAGAAAAGGGGTTGCGTTGGCTCGCACCCCTTGCTTTCCCCTCTGCGTTTTGGGATTCTGTTGGAGAGCGGTATTCCGGTCGGTTACATGTCCGAACTGCTCGCTTACGTGCAACCCTTGCACCGACGTCATGTGTTGCGATTGCTTTCCTTCTCACCCCTGCCCTTCATCTTCCTCCTCAATAATAGAGGAAGATGAATCCACACTAGGGCGCCTGGTTGTTATTACGCGATTAACTAGGCGCCTGCTGGCTGAGCCCCCAACCCACACAGGACCCGGTCCTGGTCCACGTGTTTTCCGATAGGGACCCATTCCGTCATCCGCTGCCACCGTCACCTCACATGCCATCTGCGCCATCTGTGTTTGTGCGTGTGTGTGGTCCCTTTCTTGGACGATAGGCGCTCCGAGACCTCTTAGCAGAAATGGACGAGCTGCTGGGGCAGGACGGACAGGAAGGCGCGGGTGGGGTTCCGGGGGCGGCGGCTGCCGGGACCGGCGGCGGCGGTCCTTCTCCACGAACGCCGCGCACCAATCGCCACGCGCCGGGTTGCAGCTGCCGTATTTGTCAGAACATTGCCCGCCGCGACGCTCAACAACAGCAGCAACAGCAAGAAGAGCAGGCGCAGACGCAAGCAAAGCAAGGCGAAGCGCTGGCGGCGGATTCGAACGCAGCCGATGGCGACGGTGACGGCGATGGCCGGCATCCTGGGGCCGCAGCTGCCGTACCTGCGGCGGCAGCGGCAGGTTCAGGGGCCGAGGTTGGGCCAGAGGGCGACAGGGGCGGCTCTCAGGAAGCGCAGCCTGTGGGAGGTGACGATGTGCGCGGCGTGGCGGAGCATTTCCAGTTAGGGACGGATGTCCCCGCTGGAGGCGCAGTAGCGGCGAGTGATGATGAGGGCGACGGCGATGAGATGGCGGTTTCGGAGCCCGGTTCGGATGGCGACAGCGGAGCGGATGGGGGAGAGCGCAGCTGCGATGAGGACGCGGATAGCGACGGCGGCGGTGGCGGGGGCGGCAAGGAACGCGGAGGGGACAGACGGCGGGCCGGAGGCGCCCCGGCCAGCCCTGCTAACGGTGTGTGCTGTGGAGGGTCTGTGGAGGGTCGGATGGGTGGGTGGGCCTGCGGGCATGGTGCTGCTCGGCTTGCTGGCCATCTTGGAAGACTGCAGAATGGGTCGGGCCGCTGTGTGGCTGCTTGAGGTTTTGGGGGTTTGAAGTATCTCGCGCGCAAATGTGGAGCTTCCCGCTGTCTACACTTCGTAATGTGCGTAGGCTGTCCTTCCGGGTAACATGCATTATATTTCCCTCCGCCGTGCATGTGTGTTGTGGGCTTGTGGTGCCACATGCACCATATTGCATACCTATTCGTCCTTCAACCCTTCGGTTTGCTTTGCTTGACCCGCTCGTGGCCTCTCCTGATGCCCCGAAACCATGAAACACACGCATACAAAACCCCACAGCGGGGCCAGGCAGCCAAACCGGTGGTGGCGGCGGCGGCGGCGGTGCGGCGAGTGAGGCGGCTGGTGGCGGGGCAGCGGCGGCGGCGGCGGAGGGTGCGGGCGAGGGGCCCAGCGGGCGCAAGCGGCGGAAGAAGGGCAGCATCACCAAGGCAAGTGATGACAGGAGGCGGAGCGTAACCCCCCGAGTGGCGGTGCCTTTCTGTAGGAGTGATGACTGGGGCCGCGGCTGCTACACTCATAGCCGTGATGGGTGCAGGGGGTGAGGAATCCTGGATGAATAACTGAACGAACCACTAAGTTGCGCGTTCGAATGGAACCGACCAGGTCACCCGGCTGTGTTACCTGTAAGTAAGTACCAGTCCCTTTTGGGTGATCCACCTCCCAGGTACCTGACGTGACCCCGGACGTGGCTTGGCTGTTGATTCATGTCGTCATTATCGTCATCATGAACATCATGATTGTTGTCGTCGTCATCATCATCATTGTCGTCATCATCATTGTCATCATCACCATCATCATCATCATCATCATCATCATCATCATCATCATCATCATCATCATCATCATCATCATCACCATCATCATCATCATCATCATCATCATCATCATCATCATCATCACCATCATCATCATCATCATCATCATCATCATCATCATCATCATCATCATCATCATCATCATCATCATCATCACCAGTTCCCTCCCCCCGCTCCCCCCTCCTCCTCCCCCGCAGGTCCTTAGCGCCATATCCGCCACGCGGTTGCGTCAGCGGGTGGAGCTCCTGGATCAGCTGGTCAGAGGGCTGAGGGGGCTTTCAGGGGGCCCCCAGACAGCAACACCAACACCAACACCGGGGGGGGGGACACCAGCGGCCGCGGCGGGGGGCCCAGCAAGAGGGGGAGATGAGGGAGCCGCAGGGCCGCAATCCACCGGGCGGCGCTCCGCAAGGACTGGGAGTGGTGTCGGGGTGGGCGGTGACGCGAGCCCTGCGGGGGCGGGTGTGGCCTGGGAGCACAGTCCTGCGTTGGCCGGGCGGCGCGGTGTGCTGCCGGTGTGGTGGCAACCGGAGCACGATTTGCAGCTGGCGCAGGGCGTTGTACGGCATGGTTTTGGGGCGTGGGACACCATTGCCACGGACCCGGAGTACTGCTTTGCCAGCTGCGCGCGGGCGGCACAGGTTCGTGCGCGTGTGCATGCATGTATGTATGTATGTATGTATGTATGTATGTATGTATGTATGTATGTATGTATGTATGTATGTATGTATGTATGTATGTATGCGGGGGTTGGGTGGGAAGGGCGTGTCCGGAGCGACGGTCGTCGGAGAGTGAGGGACAAGGTCGAGGGGAGGGGGGGGTGAGGGGCAGGGCGGGGCAAGGCCGTTACCCGCGTACCTAGAAAGACGGAGGGCCCGAAGGTGACCTCCGGAGATAAGGAGCGAGTCCTGTCCGCCGCCGCTGTGAGTGGTGGGGAGATGAGTAACCGACCACATGACCAGCACCACACTGACGCACGGCTCCCTTTTTACACACACACATACATACACACACGGGGAGAGGGAGAGAGAGAGAGAGAGAAGAGGCCTTCAACCTGCATCGTCAACCCTGCCGCTGAAAGCACGTGTTGCGTTGTTGTGACCCTCTTTATCTCCACTCCTCCTCCTCCTCCTCTCCCTCGCCCCCTCCCGCATGTACGATGTAGGCGGTCAGCGGAGGGGAGGACGCGGCGGGGGCGGCGGCGGCGGCCACGGCGCCTCTCAGGACCCCTGGTGCGGCCGCCTCCCCCTCCCTGGGGCCGCCCGCGTCCTGGATGCCCTCCCCGCAGCTGCTGACGAAGAGGGTGACCCAGATCGTCAAAGTGATGCAGCGCCTGCTGTCCAATCCCAGGTAAAAGGGGACAGACGAACCACGAGCGAAGGGGGAGGGGAGGGGGTTGGGGTGGGGATATTGAAAGGGAAGAAGAAGAACTTCAGACCTGTAGTGAGTGTGGAGAACGGAAGGTAAAGGCGGGGGAGATGGGGATGTGTGCGGGGGGGGCGCCAGGTTACAGCTCCGGCATCCGTTGGAGGGCGGGGGAAGGGGTAAACAGCGACAGAGGGGGCGTGTGGGGCGAGGAGGTGGAGGACATTGAGTCTCAGCCGATCATTGGGCGACGCCCAAGGCTACGGTGTATCCGGGGCCCGGCGGAAACGTTTTCTCAGTTTCACATCCTGCCACCCACACCGAGAGTCGCTCGACGACCCACATCACAAGAAGGCTGCGGTGCCGTGTTGCCTGTTGGGTGGCGTCCCAGGTCGCTCAAGACGGTGGCCAGGCGCCAAGCGAGGAGGGCCACGACCCCCGGGGCGGTGGTGGCGGCGGCCGCCGCCGCCGCGGCGGCTGCCGCCGCGGAATCGGAGCTGGCGCCGCCGTCATCGGCCCCGGGCGGGGGGCTGAGCCTCAGCGCTGAGGCCGCGGCCATTGCGGCAGCTGCCGCCGCGGAGGCGGACGCTATCCTGGCTGCCAAGCGGCGGCGCCCCGGTAGCGCCCGGGCCGCCGCCAGCGTCGCAGATGACGCTGACGGCGAGGCCGACGGCAGTGACGAGGGCAACGACGGTGGGGACGGGGAAGGTGAAGAAGAAGAGGAGGAGGAGGAGGAAGAGGAGGAAGCTCAGCCACCATCGCCGCCGAAGCCCGACGTGACGAAGTCTAGAGTCCGCGTCATCAAGATGCTTCCTGCGGAGCCCTCGCCGCCGCCGCTGCCGCCGCCGCCGGCCGCTGCTGCTGCGGGGCCCCTTGCCGGGCACCACCACCACCACCCGCATCACCACCGTCGCGGTTCTGCCAGCACCGCTAGCGCTGGCGCGGCCGCGGGTACGGAAGGTCAGCCAGCGGCGGCGACGGCAGCAGGTCATGCTCGTACAGATCTGAGCCCCGAGGAGCTGGCGGACCTCGCCATGCGGATAGCAATGGAGGCGCTGCAGCGGAAGGAAGGTGGCGGCGGTGGCGGCAAGTCTGGAGCTCGAGGGCGGCAATCGATGGGTGCCACCGCCGATGGATCTCGCCCGCCGCTGGCGCCGCCACCACCGCCGCCACCGCACACCAGCGGCCCGGCACACCGCAAACGGCGGCAGCCATGCGGCGGCATGGACGATGCGTACGGCGGCGACACGGCGGACGGCTACGACGACGGCGACGCGTTGCCGTCGGCCGACGCTGCTGATGACGAGGAGGCGGCGGGGAGCCCTGGGCCGAGTGGGCCGCACGATCACGGGATGCCGCCGGTGGCCCGCGAGGCGCCCACGCCGAAGCGCCGCCGCTGTGTAGAAGTTACGAACCAGCTGCCTGAGGGTCCCGTGGACCTGGCGGCGGTGACGCTGCCTGTGGTGGTGGTGCGGGGGCGCGGTGTGGGGAGCCACGCGCTCACGTTGCTGTCGCTGGGCCGAGTGGAGTGGCAGCGGAAGGGCTACCACACCAGCACCGCCGTGTACCCGCCGGGTGGGTGGCGGCAGCGGCTGAGGGCTGAGGGCGGACACATAGTCGGATGTGTCTTTGTTTGGAAGCGAGGCCCGCCCCGTAAAGTCTTTTGCCGTTCGCGTTAGTGTAAATGGAGGGGTGGGAATGGGGCAGGGCGATGGTGAAGCTAAGAAGCTAAGAGTGCGTGCGTGGGGGTGGGGGGATTTGTGTATGTTTTGGCGCCGTGGCCGGTCCGATTCCCCCGAAAGCACCACGATGATGATTATGATGATGCCTTCGCCGGACCCGACTTAGCTGTGGCCTGACCATCGCAACACCCCTTCCCCTTTCCTCCCTTCTCCTCGCACCCCGCACCCCGTACCTAACCCCTCCAACCCCGCATTGGCTCCCCCGCCTGTCCACCAGGCTACCAGGCCATCAGGGAATATTCTAGTATGGCCCGCCCTGGCGACACCACCACCTACCTGTTGGAGGTGGTGGGGGGCGGGGCCGCGCCGCTGTTCAGGATTACTGCCGACGACATGCCGGGGCTGCAGATCACCGGCAAGTCACCGGGACAGGCCTGGAACCAAGGTAAGACCCGGACATGAATGAAAAAAGGTGCCAACCCCTATGGCCTTGTGCCATATTGTGCCATGCCGTACCGTACCGTACACACTCGCATGGGCCTCGGCGTTTGTTGCGCACCCGTGTTGAAGTTCGCGATCCGTCTTTACTCCTCGTTTCGTTACGTTGGCAGCGGTTACTGCTGTGGTGAAACCACTGCCGCCATTGACTCGTTGCTCCATTGCCGGTTTCCAGATCAGTCCCGAGCGCAACGGGGCATGAATATCGAGCCTGAACTGTCTACCTAGCTAGCTAGCTTGATCATTAATGTATTAAATCAATAAACCAATTAATAAACCAATCAGTTAATTATTGCCATCACGCGGAAGTCGCGGCCGTGCTGAGCTACCTCGCTGCCAACCCTTGTCCTTCACCTTCAACCTCATCCCCCAGCCTCTTACCTCGACATCTGGGACCCTTCCCATCCCCTCGCCTTCCCTTCCCTTCCCATCCCCTTCCCTTCCCCTTCCTGCCATGGCCGCAGTCCTGGAGCGCGTGCGTCTGGTCCGCGGGCTGCCCAAGCTGTCCTCCAAGAGCGGCATTGAGATGTTTGGACTGTCGCACCCCAAAGTCCAGGCGCTCATCCTTCAGATGCCCGACATCGACCGCCTCCAGCGCCTGCACCGCCCGCTGATGGCCACCCGCGCGGGCCTCATCCAATCCCCCGAGCAGCTCTCCGCGGCAATGGCGGCAACGCAGGCCGAGCGGCAGCATGCTCAGGTCCAAGGGCCCAAGGGTCACAGCCAGGAGGAGCCCATGGCGGAGGGCCTGAGGGTTGAGGAGCTTGCCACGGGGGAGGAGGGCGGCGGGAGTGCGGGTGGGGGGGAGGCGGGGCGACTGTGGGGGGAGGAGGAGGAGGAGGAGGAGGGGTACCAGCAGGGCTCCTACCCCGAGGGCTATGCGGGGGCCCGGGCGGTGTATCAGGAGGCGACGGACCAGGCGTCACAAGGGGTGACCGCGGCAGGCGACCGGGGGGCGGGGAGTGGGCTTCCTGGAAGCGGGGTGGGGACAGGGGGCGGTGGTAGCGCTGCGAAGCAGCAGCACGCTCGTGACTTGGAGCGGCAGCGGCTGAAGGCGGAGGCAGCGGCGATCGCAGCGGCCATCATGTTGGGTCCTGCGGGGCCAGCGGCGGCGGCGGCGGCGCCTGCCGCGGCGGCACCACGGGCATCAGGCGTGGCGGCCCTCTCCGCCCAGGAGGAAGGAGGGGGTACTGAGTGGGAGCCCAATGTGTCGCAGGGGGTGGTTCAAGCTTCTGAAGGGGATGCACATGGCACCGGCAGCTTCGGTGCTGCTGGGCTGCAGCACCCACTGGAAGGCACGGACCAGACGCCGTCGGATGGCCGGGGCCGCCGTCGCCGCCAACAGCCGCCGAAGCAGCAGCAGCAGCAGCAGCGCCAAGCCCATTCGTGGTCTGATCCCCACCAGTTGGAGAGTGCGGCTGCGTCGCAAGCTGAGGCCTGGCAGCTTCAGCAGCAACAGCAGCAACATGTCGTGCTATCGCACCAGCAGCAGCACGAGGCGGAAGAGGAGGCGCTGCAGCGACAGCATGAGTTGTTGCAGCAGCAGCAGCAGCAGCAAGCGCGGCTACTGCAGCTGCGGCAGCAGGAGGCACTGGCCCGGCAGAAGCAAGCATTCCTGCAACAGCAGCAGGAACAACAAGCTCTCCTGCAACAACAGCAGCAGCAGCAGGCGCTTTTGCATCAGCAGCAACAGCAGCAGCAGGCACTGTTGAGGCAAAAGGAACAGCAGGAAGTCCTGCTGCAACACCAACACAACCAGCAGCAGCAAGCGGCACTCTTACAACAGCAAGCGCTGTTATTCCAGCAGCAGCAGCTGCAGCAGCAGGCGGCACTTTTATTGCAGCAGCAGCAGGAGCAGGAGCACAAAGAGCAGGAACAGCAGCTTTTGCAGCAGCACGAATTGGCACAACAACAACGGCGGCAGCAGCAACAGGCGCTGGAGCAGCAACAGCAACAACAACAGCAACGGGCCCTCCGAGAGCAACAAGCTCTTCTGCAGCGGCAAGAGCAGCCCCAGCAGCCCCAGCAGGCGACCGATCTGCTTGCTGTCGTTGTCGCTTTGGCCCAGCAGAACCCCTCTGCCGCAGCTCAGGTGGTGCAACTACATCAGCTAGGGCTGCTAACGGAGGCGATGGTTCACCAGCTGAGCCTCCAGCTTGGCGTGGGCAGCAGCAGCAGCGGCACGGGCGCCCGTCCCAATGCGACGACCGCTGCTGCTCTTGCACCGCCATCGCAGCAGCTGCAGAGCTCCGATATGCATCCGCATCTTCCGACTTCCTTGAGCGTCCAGCAGCAGCAACAACAACAGCAGCAACAACAACAGCAGCAGCAAGCGGGCACTGTCGCTTCTTCCGCGCGCCTAGCTGGGTCTGCCAGTCATCAGACAACACCGCCTGCGTCGTTGATTGGGCAGCATATTTTACACGCCGGACAGCATCTGCACCAGCAGAGTCCGGTGTTGCCGCCCCCTCCAAGCGCTTACGGTCAGCCAGGGGCGGCCGCCGTTCTGCAAATGATGCAGGTCCCGGCTCAGCAGCAGCTGATGCAAGTCCAGCAGCAGCAGCAGCAGCAGCAAGCGGCGCTGTTTGCACAACAGCAGCAAGAGGCGGCAGTCGTGATGGCCCAACAGCAAGCGTTACTACAGCAGCAGTTTTTTCAGCAGCAGCAGCAGCAACAACAACAGGAGCAGGAACAAGCAAATTTTGTGGCGAAGCAGCAGGTCCTTCAGAAGCAGCAGCAACAGAAAGCACTGCTCCTGCAGCAACAGCAGGCACTACTCGCACAGCAGCAGCAACAGCGCCTCCAGCAACTGCTCCTGCAGCAAGGCGGCGTTGCATCTCATGCACAGCTGGTCGCTTTGCAGCAACAGCAACAGCAGCAGCAGGCGGCTCTGATGGCATCAGACGGGGACCTGGCCGCTTTCGCTTCCGCCGGCGGCACGGGCGCCCTGATGGAGCCGCAGCAGCACAATCAGCAGCGGCAACAGCAACAGCAAAGTCCAATGCAGGGTCAGACGCTGTGGCTTTCTGAAGGCCCGACGCAGCAGACCGGCAATCAGGCGATTATGGCGCCGATTCCCATGGGAGCGGCTGCAAACGGCCCCAGTCCGGGCCTGAGCGATGGCAGTGGCGAGCTGACGACACAGGGAGCAGCGGGGCTCGTGCATGCCGGAATCCTCAACGGTCACCATCCACACGTTGTTGCGGGGGCCTTGGGTTCCGGTGCGGGTAGGGTTGGGGGGACCAGCTTTTCGCCGGGAGCGACCGCGTTTTTCGGCATGGGGACGGCGCCGGTCCCCATGGATTCATCCGCCTACCAGGGTATGGGGTCAGTGGTGGCGTCACCACCGGTCCCGTCTGTGGGGATGTTGGGCCCAGGCGCGGCGATGGGAATGGGCCCGGGGCTAGGATACGGGGTTGGGCAGCAGCTACATGGCTGGATATCATGAACTTGAGATCGTCTTGGGTGTGGTGTTATAGGCACCCAGTTTGATGGTGGTGTGGGAACTATGGCCTGACTAATATGACCAAGGATAATCCATAGACATTATCCCTTAGACACTGCTGCCGGTGCAATATAGTTGGTGGCAGGGTTGTAACTGTCACGGGAAACAGTTTTGTATACGTTTAGTTGATGTTAGGTTGGGATAAGTACAATTTTGCAGATAATATGTTTCGTTACGCTGGAGAGTGCGTGCGAACATCATCACAGATCCTAGCATTGCGTTTTCGCATTTACGTGTAATTGGGAGTCACGAATGAAAATCTTCCTGTGCAGCCGTGGCCGCATCTTAATTCCATGACATGGATCGCCATAATTGAAGAATTATTACCGGCCGCTGCATAGATTACAAGGGGTGCGTGTAAATAAACTGTCATCGACCCTCGCCAGTCAACGCGGCCTGTAAAACAACCAAGCGCCTTCCCCTGAATTGTTCAAAATCTATTCCCACACACAAATCCACGACCCAAGGACTCCAGCTCTGTAAGCCCCAGCAGCCATTGAGAAGTCAAGTGTCCTGTGTAGCAAGCTGCAGGACAAAATTGCAAGCATGCACAGAACACCCAGCTTCAGGTGTGGGGATTCACCTCATGCAATATCATGCGGATACCAGGGAAGACTGGATTCCACGCAAGCGCGCTGGATGGCTACACTGCGGCAGCCCCTCCAACGACCCCCGGCACATCGTGTAAACCAAGGAAAGGAGCAGCTTTTGAATCGTACCACACCACCGCCGGTATCAAGTCGCAATGGCCCCATCAAACCAAAATTGGAAGCCGCTGAATGTGCTGTCCAACTCGGGGAGGGTGAACCGATCTTCAAAGACAGCGCTACGCAAGCGCTATGGTGCCCCTCATTCCTTGCTATTATTTAGGGCGTCACAGGGGCAGCCACTTGGGCCACAGCCAGAGTAGCCTTCCGCGGCGTGTAGGTTGACCGCCGGCGCTCCTTGCGAGACTGCTGGCCCTCAGATGGCTGCTTCGTGTGGGTGGCAGTAACGGCAGCCATGGCCTTCGGGTGGTCCGCTGGGTAGACATGGACCTGTTAGGCATAGATGGAACACAAAGCACACACACCTCTCACCCAGTTCTTAGCTAACGTGAGATGCCCCTTGCTTGAAAATATCTCCCAGCCAAGGGTATCAGGTGGTGAGACCGTAACGGTCCCGGGGTTCAACCAGCGCAACTTATACCTTACCTCAGGCTTTTCGCGTTTCTTGTCGAAGACGACAACACCCTCCACAGTGCTGAAGACCGTGTAATCTTTGCCCAGCATGCAGTTGTCGCCAGGGTACCACTGCATTCCAGGTGTTTGTGGTTCAGAAGAAAAGGACTGGCCAGGCTGTCCAATATTTAATTGCAGCCCCACACGTAAAGGAGTGCAAAACCAATATTTTGTCTTTCTTTATGATCCATCCCATCGCGAACCGTGACCGCAAGTCACAAAAGTTCCATGCAAACCTAACGCAGGCTCAACATCGGCAAATCCTCACTATCATAATCATGGTATGCCCTACCGTAGAGCCACATTGCCGCACGATGATGCCACCGGCCTTCACAGCCTGGCCGCCGTAGACCTTCACACCACGCCGCTTAGCGTTCGAGTCGCGGCCGTTCTTCGTAGAACCTGAACCCTTCTTGTGGGCGTTCTGGATGACAAGCACACGCTTTGGCGCAGCAGCAACGCGAACGCGCGAGGCCAAAGCCTGGCCGGCAAAGCTGTGGGCCAGCATGGTTATAAGCCTACGTAGAATTAGACGGTGTCTGGTGGGCAAGCTAGGGACTAGCAATTTGGACAACATGACGACTTGTACAATCCACAACCAGCTCGTACGGCGGCGGTCACTGTCCTCGGCGCCTTACCGCATCTGCGAATTATGTGCGTTCTTATACTATCGTAAAGCTAAAGGTAGTAAATGTATTATACAGCGTTTGCGAAACATTTTTAATCGTTTGATTTGTTGAAGGAATTCTCATAAGCTTTCCTCAATGGGTGTTTTTCTACAGTAGAGCCCAGAAGTGCAAAATCTAGTGTCTATGCAAAACATGTGGACGTCTGCACCTGCGCTTCACCGGTGTGATAAAGTTGTGGCAGGCCAAGAACAAGACGGTGCACCGTTTGGATGTGGAGTGGCTGCCAGGCCCGCTAATGTGACGCCTATGGACCCCTTGACTCTAAAGTTGTCCTGCGCAGCAATTTTACCACATAACTTTCAGCAACAATCAGACGAGTGCCTCCTTGTGGGACCAGGTTTACATTGCCTGCAACGCCTCGCCACCACTTGACTTTCTCTGCCGCCAAAATATACCGATGGAGCAACGTAACCAACATCACCTTCCAATATCACCGGTCTGCCGGGTAATCCTGTCCCTGAGGGCCTAAGCCTCAGGAACTCAGCACCTAAATCCTAACAGTACCTGACCAGCGCATCTTCGCACCGCCCCAGACAGCATAATCCAAATAAGGGATTAAATTATATTCTGAAGCATAGGCGACCGTCACTCCTCCATAGTTCCCCCGGCTTCCTCTGCCGCCTCCGCGCCTTTTTCCCCTGCCGACCTGTCGACTGCTGCCTCCGACGCGTCCTTGTCTTTGCTGCCCTCATCCTTGGGTGTCAACTCTGCCTCACACCCCCCTTGCGGCCCCGTCTCTGCCTCACCGCCAGTGCCCTGCACCGTAACCCCCTGCTCTGGCTGTTGCTGCTCAGTCGCTGACAGGCCTCCAGGCAGGGGTTGCTGCTCATATGGTGGCGGCACTGCAGCTGCCAGAGCTGCCGCTGCGACCTGCTCATCCGTAATTGCGGCGACCAGCGCCGACATAGCCTCCACACCCGGCATAAGGTCGTACTGCACTGGGTCCTCTAGCCCACGTGCGCAAACGCCGTACGACTCGCCCTATTGAGAATAGGGGACGGAGTCAAACGGATGAGAAAACAATGAGTTTCTGAGTTTGTTGTGCTGTTGTGTTCTTTCTCACTGCCAAACACGATGGCTTGACAGCCGCGTGCCATGGGTTACTGGAGGGAAGCTCCAACACAGTGCTTAACATTTATGCAGTGCGGCGACAGGGCATACCACAACTGCTTAAGGTCCCTAATCCTCATACGAGGAATGTTTGGAGTCAGGCAGTGGATGAAGTTTTTCTTCGACTACGAAGACTACCTCACGAACCGAGCCGGATGCACTGTTAACTGGTGGCACGGCCCCTTTAGAAACACTACCACGCTTCCCCTGCTCGCCCACTGACCCCGACCTCCTGTTACTGCTGTAACTACAGCTGATCCGCATGGAAGGAACTGGCCACATCCCCACACCCCATGCATGCATACCTTGACCAACGCTAATTGGGTAGGCCGCGCAAGCAGTTGCCGGAAGGTGGGCTGCAACTCGTAGCAATTGGCGAACAGATCCCTGCGCGGTGTGTGCGGTGCGCAGTCAGGAATGTCCTCCAGGGGTCAAGGAAAACAAGGGAGCACCGTGGACGCAGAGCGCGCACGGGAAGGGGCTTGATGCGAGGCACTTAAGTCGGCGCCAGACACAGCCGCGCGGCCACACGAACAACTTCTCGCCCTCGTCCCCTTTTGGTCGCACTGCTTGTGGAACTGCCTGGTAGTGTAGATACGCTCCACAGCACCCCCCTTACGTCCGCTCTCCTTGCCTCTCTCCCCCGTCCCGTCCCTTCCTTTCGATAACTCACTTCCGGCCAAAGATATAAAGCCCTAGCCGAGCTCGGCTCATGGCAACCACCAGCCGCCGCACATCGCGCAAGTGGCCCACTGTCCGGCTGCGCACCAAGCTGAGCAGGATGTAGTCGTTCTGGGCGCCCTGGTACTTGTCCACAGTGGCGATCTAAGGAGGGCAGGGCGTGGCAGGGTATATCGGCACCCAAGTGAAGTCAACGAGGCAAAACAACCGAAGGGAAACCCGCAGGAGTTTGCAATGAGGGACGGTGGGGAGGAAGGACCCCAGACCCTATGTACCCATTCCAACCATCCTACCCTGTGCGGCCTGCCAAACATGGCGTAGGGCGCGCAGCGCTGCTCCACGACATCTCGAATGAGCGCCTTCTGTCCGTTGTAAGTTGTGAGAATGGAGATCTTGTGTGCGGGGTAGCCCAGCAGCCGCATGAACATGTACGCGGCGACCACGTACTCAGCCTCACCCAGGTTCTGGTAAAAGTACGGCACAGGCTCCGACTCGCCTGCACATTAGAATTGGGAAAGAGCGGAAACGAGGGGGCCGGAAGGGTTTAGGTTCTTGCGGGAGATGGTGGGATTATGCCAAGAGTAAGCCTGCCAGAGCTCGGCCCGGTAATTTATTTCACGTGAAGGCATCGACACCGCGTGATCTCGCAAGCTGGCTATGGTGATGGCCACACCACCTGCAACATGAAGGGGCTAAAGCTCGGGACAACGAAATGGGTCCGAAGGGGGCTTCTGGGAACCTTCGTCCTTACCGACCCACCCAAACAGAAGCGTTTTTTCTCCCGTCCTCTCCTTCACGTCTCTTTGGGTCTCGCCATGGTTCGGGCTCCCTTTTTGAACCCCCGAGGTCCCCATCCCTGAACCCACCCACCCATTAACCCGCCTCCATCCCGCCATCCATCCCGCCTACTTACCCTTGCCCAGGTAATCTGGCACGTCCACCAGCTGGAAGTCGAAGGCGAAGCCCGGGTTGGCAGCCCGGAAGGGCGTCCCCTGCTGCACCGCCGGCAGGTCGCCCAGGGCCTTATACCGCCAGTTGTACAGCCGCGCCAGGGAGGGACGAGCGCGACCCTGAGGGGAGGGCGGGAAACAGTGCATATTTGCAGAAGCAAGAGCACGGGAATAAAGTTTCAGGCGGAAACGTTAGGCAGGAAGGGGGAAAGCCTCTGCGGTTTAGTGCTGCACCACAAGCGGCACTAGGGCGGTGAGTGTGGACGATGGAGCGCAGCTTCTCGAGAATGCCGTTGCTGCTGTGGCATGACATGACTTGGCATAGGCGCACGGCCCGGCCTGGCATGGTCCAGTAGAAACAGATTGCCATTGCGAAGCAGCACAATACGCGACCCAAACCGGAACTCCAACGTCCGACCGACAGTGATCATTACCGCTTCTTCCAATAACGTCTTAAGGTATATATTTAGCCCCGCCGAGCGCTTCATCTGCCACACACACCCTAGCATCGACAATCCTTCCTCGTCTATCACAACTACAATAGCCACATAACCACCAGGATTGCCGGCTCGTGTCCACACACCTGCGCGTTGAGCTGCACGTAGGGAGTGCCCAGCCGAATGAAGCGTGTGAACAAAGACTGGTCGAGATGCGAGTACTTTTGGAAGGCCTGGTTCTTGACGACAGGTGGCAGCTGGTGGTGGTCGCCAATCAGCACCACACGCTTCAGACGCGACACACCGTCCTCGGGTTTCTGCGGACGCAACAGGGATGGGAATTCAGGAGAAGAAGCAGTGCTGCAAGTGTTGCAGATCGCGTCCAAGCGTTGTTGCGTCGTGCCTGACGAGCTTTGCCAAGAGTTACCAAGGAGGAGGACGCAACGGAATTTCAAGGGTTCGCGTCCCTTCCGCCAAGAATGTCGGCTAAGGTAATGTTTGGAGACCTCTCCAGATGGAAACCTCGAAATGCGGAGGTGCGACGCCATTGGTGCTCTAGGAAAACGAAGGGAGGGATGAAACCGCGGGGAACTGTTTCTGGTGAAGCTGGGCCCAAATGGGCTGCACGGGCACATCAGGTCGATGCCGTAAGAGGGGCACACACCGACTGCTGTTGCTCCCGTGGCGAAGGTCTCGCATGTTTCGTATACACCGCTTCCCGCCTGTCCCGCGCTGTCGCGACTTGCGCGCGGCCTTATGGAACCCCCCTCGCCTCTCCCCACCCGTACCTGCAGCAGCATGGGGATGAAAGTCTCAATCTCCAGAATCTGCGCCGCCTCCTCCATCAGTAGGTTGTCGTACTTGAAAGCCAACTGCAGGAACTCGCGCCGCTTCAGCGCCGCGTGCGTGCACGTCATAGCCACGATCTTGGCCTGGATGGTGCAGGAAGAGGGAACCAGGGGCAAGGACAGCAAGATGAGAAAACTGAAGCCAGCACCGGGACCTAAAAGGCCACCACTCTGCTTGCAATCTCAGCCTCACATGGCCAAGCAGTTCTTCCCACAACGTTGCGCAAGCTGCTACTAGGTCATCGACCATTGCTCCGAATGCACCCTTAATATAATGACACAAACCCAAATCCAGCATGGACAATTCGAGGACCATCCTTTCGTTCAGTGCATCCCTACGGAATATATTCGCCTTTGCTGCTTGTTTGGCTTTGGCTGCTGTAGGAAAAGGCACACAACGCATGCACCTGCTTGGTGCTGAGGTAATTGACGCGGTCCGCCTGCCCCTTGAGCATCTCGAACGCGCGGCACTCCTCCAGCTCCTGGAACAGCGTACGTAGATGCCGGAAGCAGCCGCGGGCACGCTCCATATCCTGGCCGTATGTGTGTCCGTGCACGTCAGGAGGGTCCGGGAGAGATGATTAATTTTATTGGGAGCAAACATATACACAGCAGCAAACAACACGCGCCCTGGCCTGCCAGCCACTGCGAGCCGTGTCCCTTTTGCACAACGCCCTTTCCCCATGCGCAGACGCCCACCTGCTTGAAGTCGTTCCCCGCGAAGAGCGGCTGCGGCGCGTCCGCGAAGTACTCCTTGAAGGGGAAAAGCTCTGAAATCACAGCCGGCCCCGCACCGCCCGCACGCGCCCGCTCCACCGCAGCCGTGAACTTCTCCCAACGGGCCAGCACGTGGATCAGCCAGAAATACCCGGCTGTCTCGCACGTGTACGCCACGGACTCGGCCTCGGGCTGGGGCATACCAGGGGCGCGCAAACCATAGCAAGGACAAAAGCGGAGAACGTGGGGTGCGTGGCCCCAGCAATTTCACGGTCCACAGCGAAAACTCCCCGTAACCGTAACCGTAACCGCGGCATCAGCTCTGTGGCTGAATGGACAGCGAACAATCCACATGGAGGCAGCTGCTGCTACTGGCATCAGCTTTGAGAGAATGCCTCAATCAGCCAAGATCCCGCCAATACCACACGTCCATCAGTTTCAATAATAACCATTCACTAGGGACACCACGCCACGTGGGCCCATCTCCTATAAACACCCATACCTCACAGTGCCGCAGGACTCCCTCCCGGGCAACCGTACCGCAACTCCGCACCCGAACCCCCGACCCACAACCCACCACTCCCAGCTGTCGCGCCATCTTCTCCACCTCCGCGAGCAGCTCCAGCCTCCTGGCCAACATGGCGTTCACTCGCCCCACCCGACTGAAATCCTGCTCAGTGTCCAGCTCCGCCTCGCCCATACCTGCCAACAGTGTTGGGAGTGGGGAGGGGTGACTTGAAGAGGGTGGATGCTTTTTAAACGAAAAGGTCAAACCCAACGGGACCGGGGGAAGGGACGGCGGAAGGGACACACTAGCACTTGGTCTTAGACAGGCAAGGAAAGGAGAGGAAAGTGCCCATGGGCCGTGGCTCTGCCCCTGACGCCGCCAACCTATCCCCCCAACCCACCCCGCTCTACCCCACAAGCCAGGAAACCTCGGCAGCTGCGCACCTAATCGAAGCAGGTAACGCTCCGGGACGTCCCGCTCCATGATCTTGCTAAACAAGTCGTTTAGCGCCTGCAGTAGCAGAGAGGAAAGGAGGTGCACGTCAGTGCTTGTGATGAGGACGATAGCCAGGATTAGCAGCTGCAGCAGTTAAGGTGGCCGTCCAGTGACACCTCATAACGGGCTAAACTTAGGAGCAGAAGAGTTCACAGCTAGCTGAGCCCAGTAATACGCTCCGCGAGGGAACCCCATCGCACTTATGCATCTAAAACCTACCCGCCTCTGTGCCAAAAGGCCAAAAGCTGCACACCGGGGCCCTTCCCTCACCCCAGTGCAAGCGTTATGGCCGTCAGCGCTCCGCTACTAGCTGGGCTGCTAGGTCATCAATAGGCCGTGCTGCCCCACCCCTCATCCCCTTCCCATTACGTGGATGCGAACGCGAGTTGTCCGATGACGTGGCTGTGTCCCGCACCTGGTTGGAGTGCGTGATGAGCAGTGTGCGCTGCCCCGGACAGTTGTGGTAGAGCACCGTCATGATCTGCACGGCCGTGTCGGTCTTGCCGGTGCCGGGGGGCCCCACCACCATGGTCAGTCCCGGCTGCACACCGGAAGCGATGGCTTCCACCTGGACAGACAGACAGACAACACGACGGAGAAGGCGGGGATTTGAAAAATTCGTCCAAAGAAGCCCCTAGAAAGGAAAACCACAGGGAAGGGTCGCTGTCAAGCAACTGCGACGAACTGGGACCTGAAGGCGGGTGTGGAAGCAGGGCTGGTGTGTTTCACGCACAGGCTTGTTCGGCATCACCTGTGCCCCCGTAGACCTATCAAGGAGGCCATCTCAACACCACTCGACACCACACCACACTGCACTGCACCAAGCACACTGCCATCCCATACCCCTCGTCCTCTCCGCCCGCAGCACGCGAGCAGCAGCTCCCGGACCTCCCACCTGCACCGGCGTGAACCGCACTGCATTGCGGCGGGGCTGGTCCTGTGGGTAGGGCCCTGGGTCGGGCGGCACGTAGCTCTCCACGAGCAACTCCCCGGGACTGGGACCCGTTGCAGGAGCGCTGCCGACGTCCGCAGCAGTAGAAGCACCTGTGGCATCCTCGGCCATGGGTGCAGCCGCGGCGCCGCCGGCAGTGGAGGCCGCGTCCGCTGTGCCGGACGTGGAGGGTCCGTTCGCCGTTGCCGGGGCAGGCTCCGTGGGAAAGGTGACCCTGAATGGAGGCACCGGCTGGGGGCCTCCGGAGCGGTTTACGAAGGTCACCTGGTTAAGAGAGGGGGGGATTGCGTCGTGTTGTGGAAGTGTTGCGGAGAGTCGAGGATGGATTCCTGGTTGAGAGGTAAAGTAGTGACGTGGTGTTGATGATAAGATGACTTATCTGCAGATATCTCTTCTATTCATGCGTTTCCGGTTAGCAACTGGCATATGCCCACACGTGTGCAGATCTTCCCCCCACAAACACAAACGACGATGTTAATAATTTGGACACAGATGGCAATAGTGCCTTGACTTTGCACGTACATACAAGGATTAGCAAAAGGCGGGAAATTCATGGCGCAGCTAGCACAAAGCTACTTGCCTTAAACTGCGGGAAGGCCTCCACCACGTGCTCCGCATCAAGGAACGTGTCCCCAAAGTCCACTGTTCGCAGCGGCGACTGGTCGCCTACGCCGCCCTGGTCACCGCCGCCGCCGTCGGCAGCGGCGGCGGCAGTACCGGGCACTCGCGCCTGCGCCGCTGCCGGATCTCCGTACCCCAGAAACACATCATGTAGCCAGGGCGGGATCACAGCGGTCTCGTCGTTCATGAGGTCGCGGATGGACTCCAGCACAGCCTTGAAATTGTTTTCCTTGGGCTTGCGCCTGGCGAGGAGCGCGCGCAACGAGTGAAGAACGAGCAGCACAGGACATGAACGAGCAGCAAAACATTCAGCATCAGCCAAAAACGTGACAACCTACTAAACCACAAGGAGCAGGCTGCCCTAGGGCAACTTCAAGATCGGCCAGCAACTGTCCTTAACAGAACAGGAACTTCGTCATCTCCCCTCTCACGACATACAATACACACAAACGCACACACAAACGCACGCCAACAAAAGGCAAACCCTGGACAACTCCAACGCTTCTTCACTCCTGGCCCTTTTCCCATGCCCCCTACCACCTCCAGCATCTCCAGCATCGACGCCGCGCAGTGGCTAGACTAGGCTAGGCAAGGCTGAGCTGAGCTGGGCTGTGCCGTCTCTCTCACTCGCGTCTCACTCGCTCTCACCGCATAAGGAGGTTAAAGGTTGCGTAGGGGTCCTCACTCTTGTGTTTCGCCATGGTGTTCATGTCCAGCTGATATTGGGCAGTGTCAAGTGCCACAGTGAGGGTGCGGGAAAAGCCCTCGGGCGGTTTCACCTCGTCACGCTTCACGCGACCCGTGAAGTCATTCATCAACCTGTTGCGGACGGACGTGTAGGAGGGCGCCTTAGGATGATCCAACCCGCGTCGTAGGGGGATTCGAGTTCAGGGCAATTCAGACCGTTCAGGGCAGTTCCATGCAGACGCTTCCAGGGCGGAAGCTTTAATGCTTTAAGAAAGAGGAGGTTATATAGAACAGAAGGACCCAGGAAGGACAACACACACAGGGAAGGTTACGGCGGAGTTCAAGGCGCGGGTCACGCCCAGCGGGATTCGAACAGGACAGCCTCCGTGTAGCGGGAGGAGGTGCTGCTCCTGTCCATAACCCAACGCCCTATAGCCCCTCCACCACAGTCGCCTAGCGCACCAGCAGGTCACATGCTGTTGCCCTAGCCCACGCAGCTATCTACAAACGCCAGCGGCATCGGTGGATGCAGGCACGGGGCAGCTGGCCAATGCGCGGGATTCTCAAGAGGTCAAAGCCCCATCAGGCCAAGAGGACCGTCCTCTCCCCTCCCTGCACCCCACGCGCAAGGACGAACGGACTCACGCGCCTCCTCACCTGCCGCCCTCATCGCGGACCTCGATGACCTCGCAGCCACGCACGTACACCAAGCCGTGCTTCTCCGCGGCGTTGGGCTCCCGCCCGTCCGCAAACAAGGCGGCCGCAGCCGCGGCGGCGGGCGGACGAACAGTCATCAGGAACAACACATCGTGCTGCTTCAGCTCATCCCACTCTGCAGGGACAAACACCCACGCCACCACATGTGTCCGATCACACAATTGCAAGAAAGGTCCCGCACGGGGTTCCTCCCATATTTGCCAGAACAGCTCAAGCAGAACGACTCAATACAGCTCAGTACGGCTCTGGGACACGTGCTCGCGCCGGGGTACTGCCCGGGAGGGCAGCCTCAGGGATCAGACTACGGCTCACGCGTGGGAAAGGACCTGAACAAATCGGAAGCGCCAACCGCGTCGGCTGCAAGGGACCTCGGGGCCGGACGCAGCACCTGGACACGTTGCACCCCAGACCCTAGTTCCGCTACCGCTGCGTGCAACATGAGAGGCCCAATGGACCCAGGCCGACGCCGAGGCCCTGGCGAGGGAGACGCCCGGGCGGTCTGTTCGGTAGTTCGAGTACGTCGCAACGGGTTGCAACAGAGGCGCGGCGACCCGTGTGTTCGAAGGCATTGGCGCAGAGGCCTCGGTGGCATGTGTTTCCATGTCTCCAGATAGGGAGACAGGATAGTTCGGTGAGGTGACGGGCCCACCACCGCCGGCACGGGCAGCGCGCAGCTAGATGGCTCGCCCGGTCGTACCTGCGCGCACGTCGCCCCTCAGCGGCCGTGTGTCGATCACCACGTTGGCGGTCACCGCCGCGGGTTTGGCGTCCCCCACGTTGGGCTTGCGGACCTCCGTGATCTGCAGGACAACATCCAAAATTTACACAGCAGCGACAACAGCACGAAAGGCATAACATTCCTGAGCTACGCCAGTGGCCGAATAAAGCAACATATACTCCCCATACAGGCTCCCGAATGTGGGCACCATGTGCCACGACATAGCAGGGCGCTTTGGGAAACAGGCAGTAGCTATGAAAAAACCCCGAAACCCTAAATATTGCATAGTCAGGCCCGCGCCATAAGCTGTGAATGTCTGGCAGCTCCCCCATTCCCGGCCTGCCAAGATCCAGTTCCCGCATGCCTGCCCGCCCGCCTACTGCTGCACGCACCTTGAAGGAGTTAAGCGGCAGCGCCATACGCGCCCAGCCGGCAAATCGCACCCTGTCGTCATCATCCCAGTACGCCCCTATGCGGCGCAGCACATCCGAAATGTCCTCCCGGATCTCATAGGTGGCCTCCAGCCTGAAACGGGGCACGCCAATGCACGAAAACGCCAAGAGCGGCGGACAGGGAGGGAGTTCGGCAAGGACGTCAACGGTTGGGTTGTGCCCGCGACGACGCAGCAGACTCGCAGTAGATCCCACCATTTTTGCCGCTACCTCGCGCAAATTTACCGGTCCATGGCCTTCTCCGAAAACACGCCCTCCTTCCCAACCCCTAAGCCAATGTAAACCGCTATGAGCGCGTGCCTGCAATCTTTCATCTTAGCCCCAACCCTTCGTCCAGGACTTTCACGTCCACGTTGGGGAAACGTCCCCTCCAGTTACCCGCATGTCTCTTGTTACCCTCACCTAAACAAGTGGAAGTTTCTGAGCAGGTAGTCGTGGGTGGTTAGGAACTGCAGGTTGAGCTTGGGCAGCGCCAGCGCTCCCTCTCCCGTGTAGTGCTCCGAGGAGGCAGGGATCTGCGCGGACAGGGCAGGGCAGGGGATTGACGGTGAGACAGCGTGCAAAACAATGGTGATGAGATGGGGCCGCAGCTGTGTATGGCAAGGCGGAAAACGACTGGCCAACTAGCGCGCACTGTACAGGCCCAGCAGGTGTTGAGCCACAAGCACGCGTGACGTGGCAACGGCATGCAAAGGACCTGCAGCGATGGCAACACACGTCAGTGGAGCAGACTCGAAGAACTTAAAAACGCTGGCAAGCCACGCAAGCCTCGCTGCCGACAAATTACCGGGCCAAGAAAGCGCCCGGGTGCAATCCCCGCTTCCCTCCAAGACGGCAACCATGAGCCTTCTCGCGTACACTCTTGGCCAACAACTCTGAACCCTCCATTCGCCTCCTCCCCACGACTGACAAAGAACCACCAGCTCCATTTCGTTTTCCTCTCCTTTCTTTACCATATGGACATCACTGGGTACAGCCTCCCCATACTCTACGTTTTCCAAAGCCCCCTAAAACCTGTCGGGTTGGGATCTCCTGCCCAGGGTGCGCAACCTCTTCCGCACCTGGCTCTCATCCCACAGCAGCCCCTCTGTCGGGTACAGCGGCATCTCATTGACCACCTCCCGCTGACTGCGCCGCCGCTGGTACGTGCTGACCAGGACCTGGAGGACAGCGACGGGTCGAGCACCCCGGGACGTGAGCACGTGACGACCGACCCAACTAGCCGAGGTGGAAAATAGGGAACCGTAAAAGGTGCGCGAGCGAAAGGGTGCGAGGGAGGACTGGGGCACGGTGAAGAGAGGACAACGAGGACGGCACGGGAGAGGAGGTCACCCCGAGAGGCGGACACCAAGGCCGTACCAATCCGGCTCACCTCCATGATGAAAGCCGTGTCCGCAGCCCATGGGTCGTCCTCGCCCACAAGCCTCAGCTGGCGACACACCAGGTGCCGCAGTTGGTCCGTGGAAATGGCTGACAAATGCCGCCTGCAGAGGAAACAGCAACCAGAGACGGAGCGGACAAAGGACTGAGAGTGTGACACGGGCGGACGAACGCAAGCGAGGAACTAGGCGAGAACTGCTAGTTCCGCGCAATGAGCGAGCCACTTATACTCCGGCGGCGGAGCTGAAGGAGTTAGTTAGCCGCCCCAGGGGGAACAGCCACGGCCCGCCACGGCAGGGCAATCGGCACAGGGACTGCAGCGGCCTTGGGCTGGTCCACAGCATCAGCACCAACGACACCTACCCACATACATCGCCATTACAGGTATCCGACGCAGTTCAGGGGAATATAAAGATGTCGCCGATACCGTCAGCGTTCGTCCTCGCTTGCGAAAACACCACACGGCCATCATTCGGCAGTTGGCCATGCCGTCGAAAGCAAAGACGGACGCAGCAGTGATACTGTTTCTTCATATATCGTTACTCTTACCGCAGGTTGTCACGCTGCTCCACAGCCCCACAGTTGCTGAGCGCCAGCTCGTGCAAAGACTCCACGTGCGCCCAGTGCTTGAAGCACAGCCGCTGGAACTGACAGACCTGCATGGACATGGGTCGGGACGGGCGAATAAGAAGCCGGGACGGGAACACCTTCAGGACTCGCAAGCATGGCATTGACTGTGCTGCCATCTCGTCCTATGAAAAGACCAATATTCCTGGCGATATACGCAGCATCCAGAGCCATGGAGCACATGAAAAGGAAGAGGTACACGACCACTGAATACTTTCCCCACCGAGAAGGTGCACGTCAGGGTCCACGAGGAGCATGCAACCACAACCACAATACGGGATGCGCTACCACTACCTCGTGCACCGCCACCGGCTGCCCGTTACCAAAACCAAAACCAAATGAAAGCAAGTCCTGACCCAGCTTCACAGGACCACAAAGGCGCGCGCAGGCAGGCGGGCCGGCCAAGCAGTACCAGAGCTGAGCGCTCTTCACTTCCATCCGGCCCCGAGTTCTTGCCTTCTCGTAATGAGCAGTGGTGACGTCATCGTCTGTGAGGGGGTCGCCCGTGTGATCGTTAATGGGGAAGGCCATGTAGTAGGCGAACAAGTCCACCAGCTGCCGGAACAGCGTGTTGGATGGGGGACCAGCCGGCCGCCGGACCTGCTCGCTGTCCTCCGCTGTACCGCTCGGACCGCGGATCCGGCGGCGCCGCCAAGTGCTTCTGCCGCGACCCCTGCCGCCGCTTCTGCCGCGACCCCGGCCCCTGCCGCCGCCACGCCCTTGGATGCGGCCCTGGAGGACCCCGCCGGGGCCTGCCGCCTCCGCCGCTGCATCCCCAGCGCCATCGGCTTCGCCCCCATTCGCAATGGCGTCGTTAGCTGCGTCGTCTGCGGCCGCGGCCTCCTGTTCTCCTCCAGCACGCTCTGCATCGCCCTCTGCGTCGCTGTCACTACCGCCGCTGCTCTCCTCTTCCCCGACTTCGCTCTCGCTGCCCTCTGTCCGGGAGTCCTCCTCCGCCCCTTCACGCAAAGCCTCCTCCTCTCCTTCGCCCTGTTCCATCAGCACCGCTGCATTGCTGGCGCCGTTACTGGTAGGCTGCCGGGCCCCCTCTCCGGCTGACCTGGCAGCTGCTTGGGCAGCAGCCTTTGCCGCCTTAGCGGCGACTTCTGCCGCCTCCGCCGCCCCGGGTGGCGGTTGGGTGTACTTGAAGAGCTTGCTCATGCGGCACTTGATCAGCAGCGCCCGGTCATCCAACAGCGTCCGCACGAAGCGCCGTGTGGGCAGCTGGAAAAATTGGGGAAATGAGGTTTGGGTTTTGCATGGTTTAGATGTATTTGGCATCACAGAAGGCGAATCGGGTTGGGGGAAGATAGCTGTGACGACCATCCAGCTGAGCTTGCAACTCCTCCCGACTAATCCCGACGCGCCCGCCCAGGCCCCCAGGCCGCCCCAGGCCGAACAACCCCAATACCGTGTCCTCCCAACACAGAACGCTGTACGTGTATACGTACTTCAACAACTGATCCGCAGACGTGTGTATGTCTAATGAGCGTATATGTGAGCAACATGGACGTCATCTCGTATACCATTTACCAGGGCGAGAGCCAGGCCACATTCAAGTCAGCCACCATCACTACTGAGAAAACAAGAGACGGCTGAGCCCTTTTCCTGGGCGCCTGCCTTTGAAGGCCTACCTGCGACAGCAGATCGATGAGGAACTCCAGAAAGCGCTCGCAGTATTGTAGCCCAGCGCGGTCGAGCTTAGCAAAACAGCCGGGGTCAGTGGGCGGTATGACCACCTGCGCAACCAAGGGCGCTGAGTTAGCCGCTAGGGTGCAGCCGCAGAGCGTGCGCTGCGGTAGTGGAGGAAAGATCAGACAGAGATACATGGCATCCGTGGAAGGGAAGGGAGCTATCAGGACAGCGCTGTCCCGGACATGGCATTGGTGGCAACGCGGTGGTTGAGTTCCTAGCATGCAGGATTGCTAGACTCTTCCTGGCGCACCCCGGCAGGCTGGTTTGAAAACTCATGGCAGGCAGAACAATGACCCTGCTCGGAAGAGAAGTCTGCGTGCGAGCTGCCGTCAGTTAGCCGGGGGTCATTTCTCGTGGGGCCTCCTTCCTTTGCACGTGTGCGCGTATGGAAGCGTCTGTCTGGCCCCCACGCCTATAAGGCTTTCACGACCTGATCCTCAGTCTCGCACATCTTCATTCCAACTCCCCACATACCCGGCACATCCCACTAGCTGGTGAGCCCGTATACAGCAATTTCCCCCAGCCACGAAACTGCCGTCCGCCTTATCCCAGCTTTATAAACGACACAAGATTCCAGCTTCGCAATTCACCCGTAAAACCAGCCCAGCCCCGCCCACCTTATCCAACACGGATAGGAATTCGTCCAGCAACGACGGCAGGAAGCGGACCTCAGGTCGCTGAGCCACAGGTACGTACGCAGCAGAAGCGCCCTCGCCGGCCGCTGCGCCTGCCTTGGCCTTCTTAGCAGCTGCCTTGGCCTCCTTCTTGGCGGCTGCTTTCCAGTGCTTAGCAAGCGCCTCGTGGGCGTGCAGCTCTAGCTGCAGCCGCCCCGGCGACAGCGCGTGCCACAGCGGCAGGGACACCACGCGCAGAACCTGAGCCCGGACCATCTCATCCTCCAAGGACTGGCATCGGCCGCCGCAGGATAAGAGACCCAAGGCAATATCAGCAACAACACCAGCGGGAGCGTTAGCGACAGGTCAAGCGGCAACGGCAAGCACACATTGCGCACATCCAGTTTTGCGAACACCAGTGAATCTGCGCAAACCCACGTCTATCGAATTGCATGTCGCCTGGAAACCCTCACGCGACGCACCCCACCAATCTTGCGCAGCAATGCTGCTCTACACGTTTAGAAGATCGATACTGCCAGCCGAGCCACAGGCGCGCCGGCACTCTGCATCCCTCTAGCTCAGCTCGGTCAGCGGTGTAGACACGCGGTCATGGCACGTGGGAGAGACAATAATGTGCTTTCGCTTTCCACAGACGCGCGACCATCTATTAACCCTAGCAAGGAGAAGGATCATTGCCGTTGATCCTCGCTCTGGGCCCCCGTCCGTCCACTCTTATCTGGAACCCGGGGCCCCCGTCCGATATTCCAAGCTGACCACAAAGCGCAGACCTGATCGGCACACAATCCGCACCTGGAAGGAGCGGATCATGAATAGGACATATGCGGTCCGCTCGTGCATGCGCAGCTTGCCCTCACGTCCTTCCTTCAGTGACAGGACACGCTTGAAGAAGCCGGGAAAGGCATCCTGTTATTTAGGGCGGGGCAGGGATTAAGGGGAAGTGCCGGCCGCTAGGCGGTAATGTGTCTTCTTGAGACAAAACACGGTGGCTGGGAACAGGCGCAACACCCCTACACCAACGCTGCATGTGGTGGCTGCACTGCCGGCGTTAAGGTAAACGGTTGCGAGCTGGCCTATCTACTGACCAGCCCACGACGTACCCGAAACACGCGCTGCACACCCGAAAGTGTCCCCTCTCTACCCGCCCACCCACCTCCCGCGTGTGGAAGCACGCCCAAGCTGGAATATTCTCCCGGAACTTCTCGTTGACCATCAGCACGATCGACATGACGTGCTCGAACGTGGCGGTCTCCGGGTCAAAGTTGGGCCATAGGTAATTCTCCAAGTACTGAGACACCTCCAGCAGCATGACCCGCTTGAAGCTAGGTCCCCGTGTACCCGCCCCGCCAAGTTCATCCCGGTAGATGGATGAAACGAGCTTCGGTTTGAACGTTGGTGGCGGGTGCCGTGCGCGTGCCGCGTTAGACCAATTCCTTTGCGCTAATTTAGTGAGCTTGTCCGTAACAATCTGCGAAGGCCGGATAAGATGCGACGTTCAGGACGTTACGGAGGATAGCCAGGACGCCAGTCCAGCGATAACCCAAGTCCGACAACCGCCGATCTAACCAAGACCACCGTCCTCACCTCTGCGACCGTTAATAAAGACCCCGCCTGCTTTGTCGGCAACTGTTGCATATTCTGCTGCTGTTGTTGCTGCTGCTTCAAAGGCTGCTGCTGGCGCGGCATCGATCGAGGTTCAGTCGCCTGCTGGGCCTTCGTCGAAATCGAGCCTTTGACTCGAAGCTCTTTCGGCGCAAATTTTGGAGCCGAGGACAGCCTAGGCTTTTTCGCAGCTGGCTCCTCCCCGCCCTCGCCGACCTCACTCGCCGCTTCCGGTCCTTCTTGAGCTGCTGGCTCCAGCATATCCTCGTCAGCAGGCTCCCGCTGTAAGCTTCTCTCGACGGGGTCCGGCTTGTTCCCCCCTTCCGACATGGTAATGGGAACGACGTGGCGGCCGGGCTACTCGCCCTGCGCCGCGTCTATCTTACGATGCAGCAGATTTGTAACTATGAGACGGACCTTATGCCAGGTTAAGTAAAAGGGCAGCAAACAAGACAATATCTGCTGGTTAAGGTAGAAAAAACAAAGATCAAAGCAAACACTTTCTTACGTGAACACCCTTTCCTATCATGTTTGCGTCCATGCGTAAGGAGGTGGGAGTTGGTTAAGCATAGGGTACGGCATCCTTCTCGTCGGTTTTCTTCAAATGTCCAGGATCTTTTGCGCAGTTCTTCAGGGCCGATACACACTCCAACAGCGCAGTCGGATCTGTTACATATTGGGCCAACCCACATTTAGTTCTCAACAGCGAGATGCAGGCCCAAAGACTCGCGCAAACCACTGGGCGCAGCGCTCGAGTTCAGCCGTTCGTCAGTGCAAAGATCAGCTCCGTGCGTCGTAGCCGGGCCCTTACCATGCGGGCAACTGCGTCCTACGAGCTTGACCCGGACAATGCAAGCATCCTAGTCTGCGGCGGCGGTGGTGTTGCGCTGCACGTCACGCGGAAGCTCAAGGACATGGGTTCATGGGTTTGGATGATGCAGCGCACCGACATTCGCAAGGCCGAAATCGAAAAGATGATGGCCTTCGTCCCGAAGGGCGATGCTCTGAGCAAGGACGACGTCCAGCGTGTTTTTGACGGTAAGCAGTCAGCCACCACGGGGCCGCTATGACGAAGGCGTTGGACTTCGAGCAAACGGGACCTGGGCAAACCAGGCAGTGCAGCTGGTTTTTGGACTTGGTAGGGACAACGCCCTTTGCCACAGGTCCCAGATTCTTCCTGCCGGCCCCTTTCTGCCCTGTGCCTCGTAGTTACACAGAATCTTCCATCCACTTTCCTTACTTATTCCTCAAATTGCTCCAGCCCCATGCTGCTAGGCCGTGGTTGTGCCTGTAGCCCTAAGGGCCAGATCTGGTATCAGGCCCGTACATCTGTGCTCCCGGCCACAAGGAAGATCTTGTACCGAATCCGGAGGGGTTGTCTCCCTCCCAACCCCCAACCCCCCCACACACACATGCACGCGCCACCACCATCTCGGCTGTCCTTCGGGTTCACATGATACTCCTCCCACCTCCCGTGCCGCAACGTTTCCTCTCTCACATCACAATTCGTCTCACATTGTTGCTTTGTTATCGTCGCTCTGCTCCGCACATAACCAATGACCCCGTACGCGCCCTCGTAAACACCACACCGCGTGCCTGGTTTGGTCACATGACCTTCCCCTCCCCCACTTCTCCATTCGCTTGGGTCATTTCCATTTGGGTCGGATCTGAATCTCCTGGAAAATCCCCCACGTTCTCCATCCCGCTTCCCCACTCGTATGCGACATCGCTCCCGTTTTGGCCTCCCTCAGGTATTGAGGAGGTGGATGCCGTGGTGTGCACACTGGGCGGCAGTGTGGCTGACCCACGGGTCGACAGCGAGGGCAACATCAACGTCATTGACGCCGCCGTCAAGAAAGGCGTCAAGAAGTTCATCCTGGTGACCAGTGTGGGCTGCGGAGACAGCAAGGACGCGCCAGGTGGGCTGGGGGCTGGAGGCTTGGCGCTGGGCGGAGAGGAGGTTAAGGGGTGGGGAGAGGAAAGACGAGGAAAGGGCCGGCAGGAGGAGGGAGAAAATGAAGTGCACTAGGAAGGGTCAAGGGGAGTCGTGTCTTTGGCTGCCAAGGATTTGGGAACAGAGAACACAAAGGGGGTGCCGATGCGGACACAGGATGCAAGTCCTCCTTTGTGTGCGAGAAGGAGAACAAGAAGAACAAGAAGATGAAAGAGGGAAAAGAAAGAGGGATGGGCAAACGGGGACCAAAGTACCCATGTGAACTTGTGTGGACATCCAGCAATGATAATGGCAAACCGGATGTGTGGCCCTTTGGTAAGGGGTACCGCGAGGAGTGGGGTGGGGTGGGGTGGGGTGGGGCCACGTGCCCCCCCCCGGGGATGGCGGTGCATGTGGGTGCGGTAGCAGAGCACGGTACACAGGTTTCAGGAGTGCGTAAGTGCCTGTGATGGCTTCGTAGGTTTACAGGTAGATAAGCACTGGTCGTAGCACGAATCGTTTTTTTGGCAGTGGCACACATGGTGGTGATGGTGATAATCCCGGCGCAGGGGAGCGCGTTTACAACATCCTGAAGCCGGTGCTTGTGGAGAAGGACAAGGCCGAGGAACACCTCAAGGTGGGTGCTGGGCGCTCTGGAGGGCGGGGTGGGGCACGGGGCTGGCGTCGTGATGCGCTGGGATTTCGTCGTGGTGAACGATGCGCTGCGCCGCTACGTTGGCGGCATTGTCCCGTGTCCTGTCGCATCTACTTACACACCTGCATGGGCTTTGGAATGGAACTATGAAGGAAAAAGGATGCTGTGGCTTTCCACAAACGAGGGGCTGCTTTTGTCACCTTTGTGGTACGAAGTGTTGATTCGGACACATGCACACAGATGCAGTTATACAGAAGAAAGAAACACGTGCACATGGCTGGGGCGCATTATTATTGCACACAGAAAACACACGCACAAATACACATACACGGGCGCCCACGCTCGCAGGCCGCTGGCGCCGATGGCAAGCTGACGTATGTTATCATCCGCCCTGGCGGACTGGTTTCGGAGCCCGCCACCGGTAGCGCCATTTTGACGGAGGACTCCTCCGCCAGCGGCATGATTCATCGTGAAGATGTGGCGTCGCTGGTGGTGAAGGCGCTGTTCTCTATGAAGGCCGACAACAAGGTGCGGCTGGACGGAATTAGGCGATACGGTGCAAACGTGTTGCTTTTGTACTTACTTTACATCAAATTTTTGCCGTGAAAAAATATACAAAGTAACTTTCGGCGTCCGACGCACCGGCTGTCAGATGTGCTGGGTCCAGGGATTAGTGCAGGGGCCAGGGCGGGGGTTTGTGGGTTAAGGATTCCCGAGGAGTGGGACTCAAAGCACTCTCCAGCGGATGAGCACAGGACATGAACCAGGTTTAGGATCAGGCGGGTTCGCACCTACGAACCCGCAGCCAGCAACCCGCATCGTTGCAGGAGTCTGCTGGAAATTTGCGCGCGCTTTCACATCCAACCACCTGATACGACCCGATGCCACGTTTCGAGTCATCGCTCGCGAGGTGTTCGGTGTTTGGTTTCTTCCTCTTTGTCCCCACCACAGCTTCCGTCTCTGCTTCAATTTAAATTGTTGTTTTGATTGTATTATATTGCATGTAATATGATATCTCCCCCTGCCGCTCCCCCGCAGGTCCTCACCGCCATTGACCCGACCAAGATTCCCGGGCCGGAGCGCGTCGCCTTCCAGCTCTAAGCCGCTGCGGCAGCAGTAGCCACATCCCGCTGAGCGCATACTTGTCGGTCGCTTGATTCTTTAATACCTCGTGACTTGACCTCCTTTCCACGAGGGAAATTTCTGAGGTATTCCCGCTCATGAATCAGCTTTCCACGAGAAGGAAGACTTGCGCTTATTGTTGTTGGGCGAGATCCCTCTTGAACCCCGATCCCGTCCGTAGTGGGGGCTCAGGGTTTTTGGATTATAAAATACCGAGGCATACCGAGGCCGTCAGGAGGGCTGGCTGGGGCTAGAGGGCGAGGGGCTTCCCTTGCCCTGCTTGGCGGTGGATGAGAGCGGAGGCCCCGAGTAGCGGGTTGTGGTGGCAGAAGACTGCTAAAAGGCATTAGAATGCAGCCAGGTTTACTTCTGAGTTATCATGCTCCGAAGCTTAATCAGGAACGTCCAGAAGACATTTTATGTTATCGTGCGCGTGTGTGTGTGTGGAAAATTGTGCGGGATCCGGGCCTTCGCAAATAGTTAGGTAGTGTAACAATAATGATCAGCTTAATTATGGCACCCGGAAATCCGAGAGACTAGGAAAGCAAACCGACAGACAAACTTACCGATGCAACTAATGGTAAAAAATTATACGATATCAAGTAGATGTTTAACTTTCGTAAAGCGCTGAAGCATACTGTCTCTGGCAAGTATAAATAGTCCCATCTGGTCATGAAACTGTACGGAAGGAAGGTAGTGGATAGATCAGGTAGTGGACTGTCCAACCTGGGATTAACCACATGCAATTTGCTCGGGCCTGACGATCGATGGCCGACCGATCGACCATGGCACGTCCGATAGGTGCAGCCTGCATGGCACTGCCAAGACTCCCGATCGAGCGAATCGGAGCGGTCAAATCGGAACGGCCGGTTCCCGTTGACCGGCGAAAAAGGTTGGACCGATCGAGCAGACCAGGTTGGCCAGCGACACGGCTCTAGCTGCAACAGGCCATTATGTACATAACCACATCATGCATTGCCACAGCGACACACAACGACTGTGAGCAACACCGTTGCACAACTGCAACGTACATAGGACACAATTTTGTGCAGAAAGTTAAATAGTCAATAATACAGTTCCGTCCAGGATTCATAAGGAGATCGGGTACGGCGGGTCCATCATCAGCCCTGCGGTCGTCATGGTGCACCTTGCTATGCCCAGGCGCGTGGATGGAGGTCGCGCTCGGCCGCCTGCCGCCGGCGGTAGCATGAACCATTTTCCCATGTTGATACTGGCGGGGGGGGTGTTGCTGCTACAATTGCTTCCCCTCGTGTCAGCAGCCGCCAGACCGACGCATATGGGCGGGGGCCTGCAAGGCTCACAGTGGGACTTGCACGACGGCAATGCAGTCGCGAGCTTCGCGCACCATTTCCTCTCCATTAGCAATCTCCACCAACTCGGCGCCTTGTCAAGCAACCTGAAGCAACACCGAAAGTTGATGGGCGACTTGGAGGAGACCTGGGACTTCAAGGACACTCACTTCGACGGCCAGAGGGACGGCCAGTGGGACGGCAAGTGGGACGACAAGTGGGACGACAAGTGGGACGACAAGGACAAGCACGATGGCAAGTGGGACGGCAAGTGGGACGGCAAGTGGGACGGCAAGTGGGACGACAAGTGGGACGACAAGTGGGACGACAAGGACAACCACGACGGCAAGTGGGACGGCAAGTGGGACGGCAAGTGGGACGGCAAGTGGGACGACAAGTGGGACGACAAGTGGGACGACAAGGACAACCACGACGGCAAGTGGGACGGCAAGTGGGACGGCAAGTGGGACGGCAAGTGGGACCAAGTGGACGGCAAGTGGGACGACAAGTGGGACGACAAGGACAACCACGACGGCAAGTGGGACGGCAAGTGGGACGACAACGACAAGCACGACTGCAAGTGGGACGGCAAATGGGACGGCAAGTGGGACGACAAGTGGGACGACAAGGACAAGCACGATGGCAAGTGGGACGACAAGGACAAGCACGACGGCAAGTGGGACGACAAGTGGGACGACAAGGACAAGCACGACGGCAAGTGGGACGACAAATGGGACGACAAGGACAAGCACGACGGCAAGTGGGACGACAAATGGGACGACAAGGACAAGCACGACGGCAAGTGGGACGACAAGGACAAGCACGACGGCAAGTGGGACGACAAGGACAAGCACGACGGCAAGTGGGACGACAAATGGGACGACAAATGGGACGACAAGGACAAGCACGACGGCAAGTGGGACGACAAGTGGGACGACAAGTGGGACGACAAGGACAAGCACGACGGCAAGTGGGACGGCAAGTGGGACGGCGAGTGGGACGGCAAGTGGGACGGCAAGTGGGACGACAAGTGGGACGACAAAGAGAAGCACGACGGCAAGTGGGACGGCAAGTGGGACGGCAAGTGGGACGACAAGGACAAGCACGATGGCCAGTTTGTCTGCAAGTGGGACGACAAGTGGGTCGACAAGTGGGACAACAAGGACAAACACGATGGCAAGTGGGACGGCAAGTGGGACGGCAAGTGGGACGACAAGGACAAGCACGATGGCAAGAAGAAGGACGGGAAGAAAAAGGACGGCAAGAAGGATGGCAAGAAGAAGGACGGCCGCAAGGAGGTCGGAAGGCGCTAGGCAATCAGTACAACAATCAGGGTCGGCATGTCCCAACTGGTTACATGTAAGGGAGAGAGGAAAAGGGAGAGGGGAAAAGAGTCGGGCTAAATATCCAGGTAGAGTTGACTACCACAATAGTTCTCGCGGCTTGGCAGTTTCATTCCGATCGGTGCTATCGCGTGCCTCCTGATCTCGTTTCCCCATTGGCGTAAACCGAATCCAAACTGAACTCCCTTTGGAAGTATGTACGAGAATGTCGTATGGGAGTTAGTTGGAATTTCAGTTCAGTTTGCTACCGACAACGTGTGATCCCCTCATTTCGTGAGCCAACTCGCTTGCCAAACACTTGCGGGGCTAGCCCAGGTATGCCTCAATATCTTGCCCTTTTGCTTGAGGGTTTTCGGTTTGCAGCAGTTTTCGGTTTCCAGAGTTTAGGCAAGCTTCTGGCTTGCAGTTCTCAGGCCGCTAGTCAGGTTCGATTTACGCTGCTTGTGAATGCCTGTGTCGTTATTCGCTACCCTGATCTGCTGTCATTTAGTCGTGAGCATGACATTCGGAAGTTAGCTAATCAGGTGAACATCATCCATGTGTACGGCGGACTGTGCAAAAATAGATTTAAAGTTTGATATGGTGAGAGTTGGTTGCCGGTTTAAATCGTCGCAAGCGACTGTGAGAACAAGCTTGCTAGAATGGGGAGGATGGTGCATCTGCATGATACAATTTAAAAACTGCAAATGCAATTTAATTGCAAATGGTAACGAGCCAACCTGCCTATGCGAATTGTTCATAGTAGCCTGCGATGTGATGCATCGCTATAGTTGTCGAATACGTCACAGGGTTTCCTCCAAGGGTTTCCTCCAATTCGTAGCAATGCTTCTGATGAAAGTGTAACCTTTAGGACTTGACCTGTGCAATGCTGACACGCCACAGCACTACGGCTTTTTTAACTTTCCAGCAATATCGGTACGTGCAGCATCATCCCTGTGGAGTAAGACCTTTTCTCCTCCTAAAGAGCTGACTCAGTAGAACTCGCACAAGGTACAGTAAAACGCACAGTTGGCAACAACACGGCGTCTATGCGGGAAGCTCACTTCAACAGCAGAACCCGTTGCCCAACCCCCCCTAGACCATATACCCCTACATCCCGCCCAAATCTCCCCTAGGCGCCGTCATCATCCAAGTAGATAGCTACCCAAAAATGAGTCCGCAGCTTTCCGATATACTTTGGCGGTGTTGCAGCCACCCAGCCCTTTACCCATATATGGGTACCCAGACAATTATATGTCTGCTGCAAGTCACTACCGCTTTCCACCGGCAGCTACCCATAGATCTTACATCACACACACTTGATCTCGTCCAAGTGCGCATCAAGACCAACGGCCGCAACCCCCCACCAACTGCCAACCAAGAGCAAAGCGCAGACAGTCCCCAAGCAGCAGTAGAAGCACTGAGAACAAGAGTCCTTCAGGAATATCCCGAAAGGTTTTCGCGACTACGGATGATGGTTGCGGCGAAGGTGACGCCCGACAGCACGAACCGAGAGTGAAGGACAGCTGGATCGGAGGAGGTCCAGGTGATCAGACAGGGTAGGAGGTGGCGTTGGCACTTATGACCAGCAGCAATCAACGCAGCGACGAGGGCCGCTTAACCACCCGTTCCAGGCAGTGTGATGTAACGATGGAAAAGGAAAAAAGGGGAGAGATCAACATCATCGAAGAGGGAGGAGGGGCAAGGAGCTCCGGGTGCCAGCGGCCCCCTAAGCACCAATTACCGCAGAGGAGTGTGTCCCGCCCGCTCTGCAAGGCAACAACTCCGGCCACCTCACCTCGCACGCACCCTCCACGCGTCCACACACACACACACACACACGCGCGCGCCACATTCCCCCACCTGTTCCACCCTGCAGCCTCCTCCACTCACCTCCACCACAATCACCACGACACGATCACCGAGAATGACCACCGCCTACCGCCAAAACCACCACACGGGGGAGCTGCCAGCAGCCAGCAGCCAGCTATATCGGACGACACCCGCCCCCGCACCCCTACAGACCGTTACACTGCCGGCGATCTTACTGCCCCCGAGAGCTGGTGTTGCGAACGGGCCGCGCTAGCCGGGGCCGCGTCGCCGGCACCTGCTTGGCGGCCTGGGCAAAGGCCCCCAGTACGACACGTGCCGCGTGGCCCAGGCGCACCGACCCAAGGGTCGGTCCCGCTATAGACATAGAAGCGAATATGGATGAGCCGCGGACAGGGGCGCCACCGCGGGTGGTGGATGTGCCGTGGGGCCCGTGCGCTGCGGCTGCGGTGGCGGCCACGAGCAGCTGCTGGTCGCCCTCGCCCTGCGCCGCCGCCTCCTCCTCCTCACCGGCGCCGTCCAACACCTGATCCGCCGCCTCCAGATAGCGAGCCAACGCGTTGTCGCGCAGCTCTTGAGCCTGCGTTGAGTTGTGTTGTGTTGAGATGAGTTGAGTTGTGTGCGAGAGGGCCGTCCAGGGGGCGATGGCGGAGGAAACAGCGGAGAAGCGACACAACGCGTTCAGACTGTTTTCTCGTCTTTCACTTTTCCTTTCTTTCTTTCTTTCTCTGTCTGTCTGTCTGTCTGTCTGTCTGTCTGCAGGCAATATATATGGAACATCCATATATCTGTAGCAACATAATTTGTTTTATGAAATCAGCGAAATCGGGGTCCCGTCCCCCGCCCCTCACACCCACACCCACTAGCCCCACCCCCCCGTAACGCACCCGGCGAATGCGCTGGTCGATCTTGTACTGAACGGTTCCTGGTTCCGGATCCCAGTCGAAGTTGTACATGCGGTACACCGCCGCGTAGTTGTGCGCCACCTTGGACATCTCCGCCCGCAGTGCAGGGTCCTCCGGAACCGGGTGCACCAGACCCAGTGGACCGGGGGCCATGAACTTGGTACCGTGCGGGTAGTGAAGAGGGTCCTGCGTGCACGTGTGTGCGTGTGTGTTTTAGTGTTTGGGGGGGGGGAGACAAGGGGGGAGAGGGTAGGGGGAGCTCGGTCGGAGGGGAAGAACTGGAACGTTGCAAGCTGAACAAGGGAAGGGAACAGGAGGAGGAAGTCAGGCACACACAGACACACAGGCACTCGTCCAGCGCCCATCCTGCACAGCCAGCCATTATCTCTCTCTCTCTCCCACACATACGCACATACGCACCTGCATCAGATTGACGGGTGAGCCGTTGGCATCCTGCGCCATTCGAATCGTCACCTCGCCATACGGCTTGAACCGCCACATGCGGGCCCGCTCCACAATCTGGCGAGCCTCCTGAACCGTGCCACTGTATACATGCATGTATGTATGTATGTATTTGTTTATGATAAAAACGTGTGTTTTTACAGGGACGGGCGGGCGGGAGGGAGGAGGGAGAAATCAAATTGGGGTGTGTGGGGGCACGGCCACAGCTAGAGTTTCTTCTCTCCCGACCTGAACCCCCCCCCTCTCTCCCCTTCTCCCCCCCCAACACACCACTCCCCCCACTCACAGTATCTCTGGAATATCGCACATCTCCATCATGTCGCTGTCCGTCTCAAAGCCAGTGTCCGTGTCGTCCGGGGCTAGGGGGTTGGTTTCGGGGCGCCTGTACGGCCCTGCGGACGAGAGTATGTCTTCGTCCTCAGCCAGCAGCTGCTGCCACCTGGTGAGGGGGGAGGAGGGGGGAGGGGGGGGGCGGGAGAGGGGGGAGAGGGGGGTCGTACCATGCAATGAGAAACAAGGAACACACTGAAAAATAGGGATCCAAAACCGCAATCAGATCTGCCAGCAGCAGCAGCAGCAGCACGTCTGTGACTAACCAGCCGTGTGCTTCTGCCCTTCCCCCCCCGTGCTGTTTTTCGGTCCCCTTCGGACCCCCGGCTTTTAAACCCACAGTGTCATACCCACAAAACCCACAAACCCTAAGTCCCTCTACCCAAACAAAAGTCACATCGACACAACACACACGCGGCCTCCCCACTCACCCATCCCGGCCATACACACACACACCCTACCCCTACCTCTGTAGCAGCGTCTCCGCCCGCTGTACCTGCCCCTTGCTGACTCCCGCCTTGTCGTACAACCGTGCCAACCGCTCGTCCTCACTCTCCTCACCCCCCCAGGGGTTCATCACCCCGGGGCTCGGGGGCACTTCCTCGACATAACTGGACAGATCATCGTCCTGAAAAGTACGGAAGTACGGCATACGAAAATTTTAGGACGATAACATCCCCAAAAAAACACGGAAGCGGGATGAAGAAATAACGACAATCGAGGGATGCCCGCAATAACCTCTCCCCCACCGCCCCTTAATACAGACACTTCCTTAGCTCGAGCTGAGTAAACTGCAAAACCCAACGTCCTCCCTCCCTCCCTCCCCCCAAAGGAATATCAACAGCACCAACAGCGTGGCCCCCTTACCGGCAGCCCTGCCTCTTGCCGGGCCTTACGCATGAACCTCCTCCCCTCCCTGGAGTTGCGGTACGTGGCCACCAGGTCGTTGTGGTGCCGCTCCTTGCCGTCCAGGTAGGTCTTCAGATCGAGACCTAGGGACGGGGGGTGGGGGGGGTGGTTGGGGGGGGTTTGGGGGGGGGGTTTGGGGGGGGGAGACGAACCACGAACGAGTGAAGCTGCTGCCAAGGCAAAAGTGCGGGGCCAGATGTAAAGAAAGCATACCTAACCAGTCGGCGGTTGTGAAGAAGCAGTCCACCCTTGGGGGGTAAGGTAGAGCGGGTTTAGATGGGGAAAAATGAGGAAATATAAAAAGCTAGCACTACTAATAGAAGGGGTGACAGTGGTGGGGTGTTGTGTGGGTGTTGTTTGGGTGGTGGTGGTGGTGGGGGGAAAGATGGCCCACCAAGGGGATGAGTTGAACCCTAAGTTAGGAAAAGGGTGGGTAGGGGGGGGGGGGAAAGACGAACCTGGGTACGTGGGGGAGTGAACGTCGTGCTTGGTGTGTGGGGGGGGATAGTTGTTGTGGCGGTTGGTGCGGACCACCGGGTGGCGGTTGTGGCGGTTGGACAGCTGTACTGGGTGGTCAACCATCAACCCACCCCACCTGCCCCTCCCCCCTTCCCTCCTCCTTCCCCCCTTTCCCACCTGTGAAGGGGTTGATTATGGCGTTACCCAGGACGCTGTCCTTGAAGGCCTCGTCCTGAGTACGACAACACAGGAGCAGTAGCATGAGCACGAGCAGCTGCAGCTGTCCGGCAAATAAAACCCAACTATACAGTAGAGATGTAGACAGACAGACAGACAGGCAGATAACGGGAGCTTTGCCTGGAGAAGGTTACAACGTTACACCTTAGTATCGCTTAGGACTAACCAACTAACCAGCTTACCCGACTAACCAACCAACCAACCCGCCTCCACTCTCCCCTCCCTCCCCCCTTCTCACCTCCAATTTGTCGTCCCGGGACTCTTGGATCATGAGCTCTCGGGTTCGCGGCTCCAGGGGGGTTTCGGAGCTGTCCGTCGCGTCGTTCCAACCCAGACCCAGATCGCCGTCTGTGTCCACACCCTGGAGCATGTCCATGCTGTGTGCGCGTATGTATGTAAGTGTGTGTTTGGAACGGGGATTTGGGGGGAAAGACGATCAACGAATGAGTGAAGGGGTTTGGGGGGGGCGAGAGGCGGAAAAGGAAAGTGGGCAGGGGGAGGGGAGGGGCGGTGAAAGCGGCTCAGAAGCCCCGTCAAAGACCCGAACGTTATCACCCCCATCACCTCTCCACCACCCCCACAAAAACCCAACCGTACAGGACCACCCTCACCCCCCACTCCCCTAGCTCCCCCACGTCTATGCTCTCCCCTTCCACACATCTTTACACACACACATACATACATACACACATACACACATCCGACAAACAGCTCCACCCCCCCACTGCCTCCCCCCCACCTACATACACAGCTATCCCGCCCCGGTCCCCCGACGCACCTGTCGTAGTCGGTATCGGTTCCAAACTCCCCCAGCGCGGCCTTGATGCGCCCCTTGTCATCCTCGTAGTAGTACGACCCGAACCGCCCTGGGTTACGGGACTGAACCCGGTCGATAATGGCGACCAACCGATCAAGAGCCCTTTGGGTAGGTGTGTGGGGGGGGTGTTGTATGGGGGATGTGTAAAGGGGTGGTTTGGGGTGTGGTTTGGGGTGTGTGTGTGTGTGTGTGTGTGTGAAGGTTACAGGTGTCTGACAGGGCCTGACACTGGCCACGGGGACTGCTGCCCAGCCCCAACGGAAAGACCGCCAAAGCTAGAGACGTGTGTGTGTGGGTGTGTGTGGGGGGGGGGAGAAACTATTGAAACCCGCACGCGCTGATCGAGGGCGGTGGCAACCAGTGGTGTGTGTGCGGGTGTGGAAGTGGCGGGGAGGAGGAGTGACGTGGGAGTTCGAAACTGCCTAGTGAGTCTCAAGCGATGAAGTCATCCACCCAGGGTGGGAAGAGGGAGAGCAGCAGGGGAGGGGAGGAGGGGAGAAAGGCAAACCACGAACGAGTGAAGCTGCTGCCAGGGCAAGAGTGTACCAGACGTAGGAGGGGGGGACGTCGGGGGCGACAGTGGAGCACTTCCCGGAGCTTAAAGAGGCTTATGAACACGAATGGCGACGAACAACGACTTACTTTTCGCGCGGCGTCATTTCCTTCCAGCGCCGGAGTTTGGCGTCGTGCAGGGAGTTGCGAGCCGCGATGTCGAACGGATGGTCCAGCTCGTCCCGCAGGACGTTAATCTCAACCACCTGTCGGTTAAAATTTTGCGTGGATAACGCTCGCACAAGTTAAAAGAGATAGCTCCGAGACCATATCCCAAGCTACTACTGCTTCCCACCTCCTTCCGAAGGATTTATATCACAGCCCTCGACTTCCTCCTCGATCTCCTCACCCTTCCGAGTCCGCGGCAGCAGTCTTTCCCGGGCATCTGCATCACTCGCTCGTGGTTCATCTTTTCCCCCCTTCCCCAGGCCCCCTTTCCTGCCCCCATCACTCCCTCACGTGGTACGTCCATCCAGCCCTGTACGGATCATAACCCACCCCCACCCCACTTTCCTCCACGTTCCCCCACCACCCCCCCCACTCGCACCTCGTCCTCCTTGGCATCTCCTAATTTGGTGCCCCGGTACCAAGTACGAACTTCCACGTCACGCATGATGGATTCTGCCGTACGGCGGTACGCCTCCACGGGTTCGATCCCCCTCTCCAACAGATAGAAGTACGGCTTCATGTTCAACACCATGCCGCAACTGAGGTGCGGGTGCAGGTGCAGCGACACGGACAGACCGACAGACGAACAAAAAGGGGGCCCCGGAGATGAGATGAAAAAAGGACAGATTGCGATGTATTTTTCCAATTCAAATTGAAGCGATGGGAGGCGGCATTTCCGGAGCTGATGTGGCGGGCAGACATCTATCGAATCTACAGCAGGCGGTTTTCAAAACAAAACACCGTGTGTGGTCGTTCGTAACCCCGGGGGGCGTGTGGTGTTTCCCGAGGGGAGGACGAACCCCCTTTCCTTACCCCCCTTTCCTCCCCTCCTCCCACTTACTTCTGCCTCACCAACAGCGATACACGATATTCCGGAGATATTCCGGAGATATTTTCAGAAATATTCCAGAGATCTTCCGGAGCCCGAGGATACCATAACCGCCTGAACCTCCTCTCGTCCCCCCATAACCCGCCCCTCCCCCAACCCGCCCTCCCGCCTCCCCCTCCCGCCTCCCCCTCTCGCCCGGATATCGACAGTTTATTCCTTCGCTTCTTGCGTCATACACATGAGCCCCCTTCGTTCCCCTCACCCTCCCCGGTTTTCCCACACCTTTCCCCCCTCCCTCGGGGCCATTAACCGCCCAACTACCTACCGTCAACCACCTACCCGTGGCGCTGTCCTGCGAA